GTTAGCGCGACGTAAATGCACGATCGCGTCGTTGACACAGCCTGCCGGCTAATTACCGTACCAACGGGAATAACACTGCGGTGATCTGCAGATACTCCAGACAGACGTGGGTGGTGTCCATCTTGAAACGGGTCGCATGCCTTACCGGGAGCGCAAGCTTTTTCGCGAATTAAATCCGGTGAACCGTGTTCCGACCATCGGGCGTCATTTCATCTGAAATTCATTGTTTCCTTATTTTTATCGAGATTGCAATTCCTCCTGAAAGGACGAAGCACGGATTCCTGGTAATTGCCTCGATGTCCAACTATGCGTTTATTCTTCGAATTATTAATAGTTTCCCTTATTAAGTTTGAAATATGCTTCTCGCTTTTTGTGGCTGTCACTCTCTTCACGGAAGAGTTCCGTGTTTACGTTCCGTTCCGAGGGAATTTACGGGGTCGACGGACACGCGAGCCTCGGTGCCAAGCCCCGTGTCCAGGCGACGCCGCATCGTTGGGGTAGGTTCGATTCATTCTGGTACCTGTCCGCGATCGCACGCGAGATCTTATCGGTAGCTGCTCGCAAATCGGCCAACACGGGCTTCCGACGCCCGAGAAGACACGGCAACCCCTTATAATAACAGATAAGAATACTTGCTTCTTCCTTCCTACTGCGAGGGACCAAAGCTCGATTCGCATTATTCGTAACCGGGTCGACTCGTATCTGCACTCTACCGGCTCCATAGTTCGCGGAGACGTGGGAAACCAGCAAACTCAGTGTCGCAATAATAAAATAATAATAATAATAATAATAATATATCGTCCTTTCGATATTCATTGTCAGTAAAATCCGCCGTCATCAATTCTAACTTTATTTGCTTATAACTTTGTAATAAAGCGTTTCTGAGAAAAACTCACATAACATTTTGTTCTTTATTTTCGCATGTAGAATATGCTCCCTAAGTTTGTTGATTAAAACCCGGGACACCTTGTATGATAAAGATGACGATAGTGATTTTGCCGGGTTCCGACGCCACGAGAAACGTACGGGTCGGTCCCACTACCGATAATGCGAAATTTCATTTTAAACGGTGTATAACGACAGATCGAGACACACAAGCGATTTTATTCTGAACATTGTCTGGTAACTCTTCTCGAAGCACGGTGATTTTGTGGAAGGATCGACGTTCATAGAGAGTGAATCTGAAAGACGAAGATCGCTCGAGCGATAAACCACAGTGATACTGATCAGAGTCAACGGAGGGATAAAAACTTGCGGTGCGTGTGTTTCCGATATCGATTCGCAACAGAATTCGCGTATGCAACAGAAAGGGAAGCGACGGATCGTCGCCGGTTAACGACAGAGGAAGAAAGATCGGCGTTGAATCGTCTGGCGCTCTAAATCTTCCCGACGCCGGAAGTTACCGGTTTACACGCGGCGAGGAATTCGTTTTGTTTCGCGAACTCGTTCGATACGATCGTCGATACCGTCGGTCTAGTCAGAGATAAAAAAGTAAAAGACACTTGCGTCGACGAATCTGTTTCGCGCAGACGAACAGGTGTGCTTCGTTCCTTTCTCTTTCGCTAAATATCACCTGCGCCGATGAAGACAGTGTCTAGTGGCGGGTGATGATCAGTGATCCGGCAGTTTCGAATGAAGTGGTTTTAGGATGATGGTGGAGCGTGTCGAGGACCATCTCTTCATGTATCGACGTCCCGTTTACCGGGTCTTCCAGTACCTCGAAACCACCGAGTGAGTATGCAAACCTAAACGATAAGTAACTATCATCTCTCGATGCGAAGAGTTTCAGAAGAGGTAAGCCGCTGGCCTCTGACACTGATCGCGTAATAAACCAGCCTCCCTGACACTCCCTCAGACAAATTAATTTATTAAGACGAAAAGTATGACCAACGCTGGAAATATGTTTGTTCGAAAATTATATGAGGGTTGACGATGTTGAAACTTGAATCTAGTCGTTTGTACATGAAAAAGTAGATCGGGATCGATAAAGTGAGTGAGAAACTCGTACGCCAAGTATTGTGTATAACGGCACGATGATCGTGTTTGCACTTGGCAATACACCGAGACGTTTCGAGCAGAGGTTTCGTCGCTCGAAAGCTCTCCCGGGTAAGAGCCAGGTGAAAGGGTCGCGAGCAAAGGTGAAATCGCGTTTAGTTCGCGGGGGTCGAATCGAATCTCCATGATAATAGGCGCGGAGTGGTTTTGAAAAGTTTGCCTGGAGGGGTTTCCGGTTCGTCTCTCCTCGGGCACGAGACTATCCAGCCGTAGGAATCTTGGGAACAGGCGTTTAAACAAAGGGTTGGTCGGCTCGTTTGAGGAACGGCCAATGCCAATTTGCCTGCATAAAGCGTTTGCAAGTACCGATCCGTGAATCGAGCGGAATGCCACGGGGGTGGTTTCGAGTGGGGGTTGCAAACAGCTTCCTTCTTTTTTCCTTGGATCGTGTCGCGTCGATTGGGGCGGATAACCATGGCGAAATTGCATCGGGTATCAATTCATCTGTGCATCTTGGCGGCGACCAATTAAAACGCCTCGTTTACGCGAAACTATTGTTTCGCTACTTAATCGATGTTTATACGCCGAAGGAGATACAGCGGCGCGGTCGATACTTTTTACGATTAACTGGTGAAGCGATACACGCACGGTTTCAATTACTTTGTCGTCCCCGGCTCCCGGCGAGGGGCGAGCGTTCGTTAAACCACGGGTATTCGCATGGGGACGCCGGCAATTAATTTAAGGTTCGTTCGAAGCCGACGCGAGACCACGATACGAGCCATAAAACCGAAACCCGAAGATCCGTGGGTCCTGCTGGCTGCCGGGCCGACGGGCCGACGGGCCGACGGTGGTCCTTCTACATTCTAAAATTACCACTCTCCGAGCTTAAAAGCTCGTTGAACTTGGACGGCGTGAAACACCGAGTTTATCTTCCAACTCCCCGAGACTTCCTCTATCCTCCGACACTTGAACTTTTAACCATTTAATCGTTTAATCGTTTCAAAATTCTCTTCAATCAACACGATTATTATTCAAGCATTGATGATAATCTAAAGTCTGTCGATGGCCGAGGTATAGTTCTGAGATTCGAGTAACGACAACGGTATATTTTAATTTTCCACGCGGAGGAATCTCGGCGGCTGGGAACAAAGCAATTGTTTTCTGCGTAGGTGGTCGCGTATCGGTGTTTCGATTGTTCGATTCTTGCGGGCGAACGCGATTCCAGCCTGAGCGAGTAAAACGAAAGAGCGTGCCACTGGTGAACAGCGTCGCGCAGACGTCTTGCGAAACTTCTTATCCCGGCGAAACTTTTCTCATTTCCCGAGCCACGTGCCCTCTCCTTGACCATCGCCAGTCTTCTACTGCAGTTGGACCGCAGGCACTCCTCTCCTTGATACAACCAGACAGGTAGAGGAGTGCCTCTTTAAATAAAAATTATTATCGACCAGAGATTCAGTGACGAATATTTTTTAGAAATTTCTATTGTACGTTACGTAGGCGAATAGAGACATATCGTCGACGTTCTATCCTTCTAAATGGCATTAAACACCGCCAGCTCGTGGACAACCTTTCACGCGCCTGGCTGGATCGCGTTCCGCGACTCGTCAGACTCGTATTTTCTTCATCGGCATCGTCGATGGGCTTCGTTCCTGGTCCTGGTTTCCGCGTTTTCATCGTGGCCCAGTCACCGCGATTGCTCGCGCGCGCACACACACACACAGACACGCGAGCGGATCATCCTTATTGACCAGCTACCTCGTAGAACAAAAACTGAATCTCAGACGATTCTCAGAAAATTTGATAATTTTACATACCGCGGCTATCCTCGAGTTCGATGATGAACTTGACCCGATCATTACGTCTTGCAGGACGTCATTGAATTAGGATCCATCATTAACGTATTCTTACATCTATTAAGAAAGCTCGCTATTTTCTCTTTTGTTTCATCTTATGTCTGTTATTGTTACTACATTTATACTGTATTCTTTCTATTGTTTTTTAATAGGCTCTACCCGTGAAATAAAGTATTATTATTGTTGTTATTATCTCTCGAAAGTAAGTACTTTGCATCGGACTCGCGTATACTTATCACGACCCCGATACAGGAATAGATCGATGGAATGATTAAAAAAATCACTGAGGATAGAAACGAAGTAATCGAGATTCGAGACGACTCGATCTCTCATTGGCGTAGATTGTAGATAAACGGTGGACAGATCGGCCAGAAACGGGCGAGTAAAAAATAGAACGGAGGTGGTCGCGCGCGGTCTCCATGCAGTCTGTCCGCGCGACCTGGAACAGCCAGCCGGATCACTATGTTTATTTGCGCCGCAGGAATTGCGCTAGCGACTTTAGCGATTTTTCACCGTCGTCCCACGCGTTCGAACGCGCGAGAGAAAGAACGGCTCGGCTGGGAAAGAGAGGACGGTCGGACGGTGGCTTGTCTGTTGGCGCGAAACGTCCATCAGTTTCTGCTTGGACGTGTGCGCGTACGCATTCATAGGTTCTCGTGTAAAGAAGAACCAGTTGAGAGTTTGACGACGTCAACTCCCCTTCGGGCGTTTCGTCGCAATTTTCGTGGACGTAAAAATTCGCGTTCTACCGCGACGCGTTTTTCCATGGCGAAACTCGGTCCCTGGACTCGGTCGGCTCGGACAGCGCGAAATTAAAATCGTTCACGATGCCCGTACCATCTCCTCCGTTCGTGTCCCGAGACCAGATGTAATTCAGTTTCGTAAAACGAGACCCATGCAATCGTTTCGACACAGTTTCTGTTCGAAGATCCGTGCTGCCCAGAGTCGGGTTACGGTCGTGTGGCAGAGTCAGTGACTATGACGGGACGACTGAAGCGAGAAGATCTCGCGAGGATATCGGTAAATCGATCTGTCGATCCGTCCGAGACTAGGAAAGATCGCTGGCCGATCTCGTAATCCTGTTTCTTCTCAGACTATATAAAACGTATTGGCTGTTGGTCAAGCGGCAGTCGATGAATTAGTCGGTGGGACATGTTGGAATTGGTGGAACGAAAGGCCAGCGGGATTTCTTGGCCGTGCCGCGGCCAGAACCTGGAATCGTACAGAGATCCCAAGGGGATCTTCTTTCTCCGGCGAGACAGGGGTTGCTCGCGGGAGAAACGATGGAGAAGGGAAAACGGTGGCCTGCTCTGTCCGCTCGGACGACTAAGATGCAACGAGTCCTACTCGCCCGACACTCTCGGCACGTGGAAGTTCCTCAGGGTCTCTCGTAGCAGGTAAATGGATCACTTCTCGTCGACGTTTGCTCGCGTTTCTTTCACGACGGAGGCCCTTCCGTCACGCCCGAGACCATGCAAAAGCGCAATAGAGAAAGTAATAGTGAAAGGTAAAGTGCGTGGGCGAGTCGCAGGTGCGTGGTGGTCGGTACTCGTTCCGGGTCAGGGACGCACTTTGCATCCTTGTCTGTCTCTTTAATCGTATCGATCCGAATCTACGAGCTTCGGTTCATCGATCGATTATCTGAACCGAAGATTTCCGTGTTTCGTATTTCTCAAGCACTGACGAGCAATTATCGAGGAGAAGCCATCTATCGACGCCCCGTGAGACAAACAAATAACCAGCGGGTCGATGTACTTACCCAGGCTCTCTAATTAACGCTGAAACCTGTTTAATATGTCGGCTTCGATCGAATCAATTTCGGCCGATTTACCGCGCCACGAAAATCCCGCAAAATTAATCTTCATTTCTAGTACCAGCAGAATCGTCCCTCGTTATAGCTCGTTTTTCCGGGGAAGAATAGGTGCTTTGACCGTATAGATACCGCCGCGGCATTTAACAATTTACGCTCGTTACGTAACGCTCTCTGCACTGTTCGTCGATGCAAAGTACAACGTGAATTAAAAGGCCCATCGACGATATTGGCAATCGTCCGTGAATTGCTGGCTCGCGTTTCCGCAAACGCTTGATTGACAAGCCAGTTCGGACGATGCGATTTTTCGCAGACTCGCTAGTTTCATCGAATCGATAATGATCCAACAATCACGAATTTTTATATTTACAATTTTATTTCCATTAGTTGTACATACAATTTGAAGTACAGAAATTTTTAAACTATAGTGTAGTTCTTAGCTTGGTACCGTTCCCAAAGACTTTGGAAACGCTACCAACCCAGGTCTCACCGCGTGGAGGTGACTACGTTCGAGACCCAGACAGTGGACAATCCCCACTGCCCCCTTCCCTATTAAATTGCCACCCTATTATACGGAGCGAATATTGGAGAAGGATTTTAGACGATTGCGAACAAGACTCTAACTATTGACTCTAACTATTGACTCTAAATGGAAACTAAGGTGAGAACAAAATGTCAGACTTCACTTGGGCACCAGAGTTCGAGCCGAGCAGGACCCTGCACCCGAATGACGATGCCTCAGCGCAGGAATGGCCTGACCACGACCAATCCGTCTCACCGAGCTTACGCACTGCACCTGGGAATGGAACAGGAACACCCCAGCGACTGACGAGACAGGCCACCGAGATACAGGACCACAACTCTTTTCTCCCTCTGGTACTCGAGCAAAGTCTGACTGGTAAACTACTATTCGCGGCGCGGGTAAACTAAAACGCGAGCAAAATGTATTAACTGAAACGAGAGAGAGAGAGAGAGAGGGATGAAGTTAAATTCGCTCCGTTATAGGGTGGAATTTTGGAAGGCATACTGCACACTAGTACCGGTACCCACACAATCATACTCATACCGCACACCGCACACGCATACGATTCGCAAGGGATGGGAAAAGGGGTGTCTCGACCGGCCTTAATGCCGATCGAGTGACTCGAGGAGCGCCGGGGCTCTGTATTTATACTCTCTCGGGGATCGACAGTTTGGGCAAAATGACGTCTGCGCAAAATGATTGGCCGATTCTGAGAAGGCTTGGCTCCTGATTTGCATATTCGTTTACTTCCGCATTTATCGATAATCGGGCAGGATTTTTTGGGTCATTCCAAAGGGAATGACCAATTGACTTTAAGTACCCACCCTCTAGGATTGGTCATTCGGTCAAGGATCGTAAAATAAAAACGCCAAGATTTGTTTCCATTAATTTATTAAACAGAATTATTGATTTTTACAACACATCAATGCATTTTACGCTGTAGTGAACGCTGAGATTTCGTTTGGGTACAATGGTTTGATCGACCCAGTAGTTGGTGGTTCTTGGCGTAAGCGTTTCGTCCCTGACCGACGGCATTCCGTAGCCGGACGACGCTCGTAATATACATTTGCATTAATAGCTCCGATGCAAACACTCGACTTGGCTGGAACTACCCGACGATACTTTCGCGTGTCAAATTTTTTAGAATACCCTCAAAACGCTCGACGTTTTCTCCTACGAAAATCTATTCATCGATCGATTGTACAAAGCGGAGATACATTTTCGCGTGAAATCGTTTCAAGGCTCGATTTTCGTCTCGAATCTCGTTCTCGCAGATCCCCATGCGAAATACCGCTGAAACGATTTCCAGCGAGCGCGCGTTCGAGTCACTTGAAGAGTCTCCGTTTCAAAATCGAGTCGGGGATCTTGCATGAATGCCGTGGCTGGTCGAATCGGTAACTATGTAAGTGCAACGTGCGGGCAAATGTGTCAGAAGGTCGAAAAGGGTAAATACGAGACCCGGTTGAATGGACGGGGATGCGGCTGCGTGCAAACACGTGCCGCAAAACCTTTTCAGAACCACCCCATAGAGTCGTCCGCACCGAGCGAAACTTCTATCGATACTAAATCTGTTCCCCGCCTCCGAAGGTAGTTTTTCGACAGAAGATATAAAAGTGTTAAAAAATGTTTCTCTTCGATATCTGAGAACGTTCGCCGGAGCGATTCAGATTGTATCCAAAGGCGTGATGTGACCAAAGGCTGGCGAGCGAGACACTTTATTAGGTCATTGCGAGTGACGTCACCGATACAGTTTTCCTTGAAGAAAGCTGGGAAGAATGTTACGACTCGTCATTACCTATGATTCAATGTTTGAGAGTTATCGTATAAAATTTAATCTTCCCGATAAAGATCCTCGCCAAAGTGTCTGGTCGGTCGCTTGGTCAGTGGAATCCGAGAATCCGCACGTTACTGCTCGGTGACGAACGCGTCACATTATATTCTGGTTCTGTAAGTGGTAGTATAGTACTTAAAAATACCGTGGAACGATCGACACCGATCATGGAAAGGCTGGGAACGGTCGACTGAAGAACAATCGCGATCGGCTCCGATGATTAAGCTTAGTGAAATATTGCGCTGCGGCGTCAACAGTGGATTTTTAATCAAGTGCTGGACTTTATTAAAGGGAAAGGCGAAGAGATCGCGCTAACTCATAGCGTTGATTCTATACTGAAACCAACTGGCATTTCAATTTTATTAATGATACGCGATAGCAAGAGCCGTGGAACGAGACTTATGGATGAGCAGGCTATATAATTAGCATATTATAATGCCAGCACGTTAAATTTTAAATATTATATGTTCCTATTAAACCATTACATATATATCATATAAGTTATTATAAATATTACTTCCTATTAAAACCTATCTGCAAAATTTTAAATCAATTCATTGGTTTTTTGAAAATGTGACTTGAAATTTACATGTACTCTTATGGTAATCACTCTTCCTTGTTTTCAATTGTCTTCCTGTAGACAATAGCAGCACCTACAACTTTTATTTAAAGCATTTTTCGAAATTGTCAGAAAAAAGGAAGTCTTTTATTTTTCCGACATTTTTCCAAACGGGTACCCCTTCAAATTTTCGCAGTTTTTCTGTTTTTTGTCAATAACTTCCATACGGATGGTCTTAAGGGGACGTTTGTAGGCTCATTTTGTAGGGGGCGACGAGATCTACAATTTCTGTGCAAAAAGAATTCGCTAGTGCCAATAGTTACCGAGTTATTTGCACAAAACTTTTTTTCTGTTTTTTGCCAATAACTTCCAAACGGATGGACTTAGGGAGACGTTTATGGGTCCATTTTGTGGGGGACGACGAGGCCTACAATTCGTATATAATAGTTTTGAGCTAGCATGAATAGTTACCGAGTTATTTGCAAAAAACAGTTTTTCGTTTTTCGTCTAGAACTCGGTAACTATTGGCACTAGCGAATTCTTTTTGCACAGAAATTGTAGATCTCGTCGTCCCCTACAAAATGGTCTTACATACGCCCCCCTACGTCCATCCGTTCGGGAGTTATTGAGGAAAAACGAAAAGTCTTTTTAAAAGTTCGCTATTTCGACGGGCGAATTCGCCTTCAGATTCTGCAATTCGCCCGTCGAATCTGTGAACTTTTAAAAAGACTTTTCGTTTTTCCTCAATAACTCCCGAACGGATGGGCGTAGGGGGGCGTATTTAGGCTCATTTTGTAGGGGACGACGAGATCTACAATTTCTGTGCAAAAAGAATTCGCTAGTGCCAATAGTTAACGAGTTATTTGCAAAAAACTGTTTTTCGTTTTTTATATAGTTATATATTTTCTATATTTATGTACTTCGTCCCGTGCGTATTATGACACAGTCGAACAATAGTTCTTTGCGGTATTATCCGTGTCTCGACGAAGTTGAGCCCGGAGGAAGGTTTCAGCAGAAATCCTTTTCCTCAATGGGCCGATGAATAATTGATCCTCTCTAGGCAAGTGCTCGCACGTTAGTCGAACTAGCGAGCCGAGGTTTTATGAGACAATGCATAATTGACGTGACCGCCGACGAGGCTCAGACTTCTTTGCAACTCTCTTTCCTTTTCCATGGTAGCCATGAGGGGATGAGCACTGGCGTGGGAGATGGAGGCGGAGGAGGCGGTGGCGGTGTACAGGGAAATATCAGCGGGAGGAACACGCCACCCCATGGATCGCCCACCCCCATGGACAAGGCGACCCTCAAGGTTCATCTGCCTAACGGTAAATTTCCGTCGGAATCTCGAGCTTCGTACAATTAAGAACCAGTCTTCCGTGAAACTGATTAAATCAGGAGAGAGAGAAACTTCTCTTCGATGGAAGAGAGAATCTTGGGACGAGTATGAAACTTTGCTTCCTCTTTAGGTGGTTTCAACGTCGTCAAATTCGGCGATGCGATCGACGTGAAAGGAATCATCTCCTTGGTGACCAGTCGACTGGCACCGGGTACCAGGCACTATCGACACCTTTACGCCATGAGACTCCATCACCCTGGCTCCGGGGAGAATTACTGGTTGCACCAAGACACCACCATGTACCAGGTAAATCGATGTCTCAATGGAATAAATGTGTGCGTTCGTTGCGAATCTTATATCGGGAATGGTTGATGTGTCAGGTCCAAGAGAAGTACGAGAAGAAACACCCTCACAGCGAGTGGAGGTACGAGCTGAGGATTCGCTACTTGCCGCACAATTTGAACGACTTATACGAGAAGGACAAAGTGACGTTCTTCTACTATTACGACCAGGTATCTTGGAGAATCTTTCGGTTTCTTTGCTGGACATAGGGATTTACCGTTGGTCTCGTAGGTGCGAAACGATTACCTCTGCGCGAATCATTCGTCTCTGGACCAGGACGTGGCGGTGCAGCTGTGTTGCCTGGAGATTCGCTATTTTTTCAAGGACATGGGAAACATGGCGCTCGATAAAAAGAGCAACCTGGAGTACCTGGAACGAGAGGTAGGCTTCGAATAGTTGCCGACTCGGTCGCGGAGTTTTCTAGCGAAACTTTCGATCCGCAGGTCGGCCTGCACAAGTTTTTACCGCGGGCCGTGTTGAACGGAATGAAACCAAAGGCACTGCGTAAGCTGATACAGCAGCACTTCAAGAAGGTCGCGGCATTGTCAGAGCTCGAATGCATGTTCAAGTTCTTCGATTTGTTAAGGGCGCACTATAGATTCGACCAGGAGAGGTTCATTTGCGCTTTGGGGGTGAGTCGACGTCCAGACTGTCTAAAAATTACATTTGGAAGATCGGACATTACGTTTTATTATCTTTATTACAATTTACAGTCGAGCTGGTCTATTCCTGTAGAACTAGTCATTGGACCGGACTTAGGCATATCTTACATGGCTCACAGAGGAGGAACAGTGGTACGTTCTGACTCTTGATTCGCTTCTAAGTATCCGGAGACACGGCGATGAACTTTATGGATCAATAAATGATTTGCAGCCAACGAGGATGGCCGAATTCTCTCAGATACAGTCTATCCAAACGCTCGTGTCGGACTGCAAAGAGCACGCGAAAGCGTGCATTAAATTAAGGGTAGCCGGAGCCGAGGAAACGCTTAGTATAACTTGTTCGAGTCTAGACCAGGCGGAGAGCCTCGCAGATTTAATCGACGGATACTGTAGGCTAGTCACCGGAAGCAACACCTCGTTGTGGAACAGGAAAGGTACGACTGCTGAAAAAATCTTTTAAATCTAGGATAAAAAGGATCAAAAATCCCGTTTACGTTACACGTACAAAATATACTAAGTTACAATCGTTTATAATTCCAAGCTGCATCGTGGAAAAACTATCCCTGTCCATGCAAAGGTTTGTAATTTTGAGTGATCCCAATTATGGTTATAGTTTATCACAGTATTGTCTAAATCGACTTCGTATCCGTCGAAACTCACCTATCGATCGTCGTCAATGATATGGTTTATTTTAAAATAGATGCTCATCCACCCAAGTACAGGCAAGATCGTTCCAATAGCCCAGAGAAAAATGTCAGCAAGACGGGCACTATTTTGTCGGAAGATTACGCGGAAATCGTGGACGAGGAAGGGGATTATTCCACGCCAACGAGTACGTTAAAATTGATACATACCTGTTACCAACATTCGTAGTTACTTGTATCATTGAAATATCATTGAAATTTTAGCTAGGAACTATGAGATCGTTAGAAATCAAGTGGAATTGGGCGAGATCATCGGAGAGGGTCAGTTCGGCAATGTACATAAAGGCTCGTACAAAGGTAGAGACAACCAGCTGACTCCCGTGGCAGTGAAAACTTGTAAAGTCGACGCGGATTCCGCGACCGCAGAGAAATTCCTAGAGGAAGCTTGTAAGGAACTTGTATTAATATAAGGAACGCGATTCACTGCACAAAATACGGATTTACTACGTGACGATAATTATTTTGACGATTGAAATTTCAGTCATAATGCAACAGTTCGAGCATCCTCACATCATAAGACTGATCGGCGTGTGTTCGGAAGCGCCGATTTGGCTGGTGATGGAGTTGGCCAGGCTAGGAGAGATGCGCGCTTACTTGCAGTCGAACAAACATCGGTTGGACCTCGCGACCCTTCTCCTTTACACGTTTCAATTAAGCACTGCCTTATCTTATCTCGAGAGCAAGAAGTTCGTGCACAGGTAGTTGCTCGATAAGGCCGAGGAATTCAATATTAATTTTGCTCAGTCGCTAATATCTGTTGGTTCTCCCCAGGGATATCGCCGCGAGGAACGTGTTAGTTTCTACGCACAATTGCGTGAAACTGGCGGATTTCGGCCTCAGCAGATGGGTGGAAGATCAAAGTTACTATACCGCTAGTAGATGTAAGTTACCCATCAAATGGATGGCACCCGAGAGCATCAATTTTCGACGATTTACGACATCTTCCGATGTCTGGATGTTTGGTAAGTTTCACCTGAAGAAGACGATTGCCGTTTCAGTCAAATTAAACGTTTTTATTTCTCTAGGTGTGTGCATGTGGGAGATTTTAATGTTAGGAGTGAAACCGTTCCAAGGTGTAAAAAACAACGAGGTGATACGCAAGTTAGAGAACGGAGAAAGACTCGCGTTACCGAATCACTGCCCGCCGCGATTATACTCCTTGATGTCTCAATGCTGGAACTACGAGCCTAGCAAGCGACCGACGTTCAAGGAAATCAGAGAAACGTTGCAGTGAGTGTTCCATTCGATCGTCCATGTATATAACATTTAACTTTTTATCGAGTCGCGGGATCGTGTTATTACGTTACAGCGAGATTCTGTTGGAGGAGAAACATCAGCAGCAAGAAACGATGAGAAGGGAGAACAGGAGAGTGCAGGCGATGTCGTGGGGTACGTAAAAACGAGGCATATTCGATTTGAGTCGTTCTCGAGATAATTCCGTGTAGCATGGCGCAGATAATGTTTCGTCATTTAGGCGCAGACGATGTACCGCCGCCGAAACCTTCGAGGCAACCGCAAAACACGACGGATCAATCCCAGCTAACTACCGCTGCGCCGGTCTCGACGTACATCGTGGCGCAGAGCCCCGAGGTTCTCGCGCAGCTTATGAAGGATAATCAAGCCAGGGGGGTATGTCCCTCCGTCTACACAACACCCGCGTCGCCTTTCAATACCCTAGCAGTACAATTCCAAGACGAAGACCAAGTCTTAACCACAGCCCTGGTCTCGGATCTACCTTTTTGCGATCCGGCCAACTCGGAACCTTCCGGCTCCCACGATACCCACTCCGGCGATTCCACTTTATCCGACACTAATCTCGACTCCCTCGATTCCTCGGACACTCCGCTCATGTCCAGCTTGACCATTTCGGAGACGGCGCAAACTCAATCCTCTCCGGCCGCGAACAGAAAGCAGCAGAAGGTTAAAGAGATGCAAAATTTGTACGCGGTCAGCTCGAAAGTGGTCGGTTCCGTCACCGGCGATCTGTACTCTCCCGTGCAAAAGTTCACAGCTTCCACTGCCGTTCCCATTACAACGATCGCGGCCACGTGCGGCGAGATTTACGGGCCGGTCGCTAATTTCACGCAGAGCTCCGCTATCGTTGGCAATCTTAGCCAAAGTCCCAGCGTAGGCGGTAATTTCGGTGAGAACCCCGGTAACTTTGGGCCTAGTAGCTTGAACAGTATCGTAGTAGGAACGAACAGCGGTCAAAGTCAACCGTCGAGTTTCATTCAGTTGACCGCGAACACCGCGACTCAGGCGTTCAGCGTCTCTCAATCGATGAGCCAGAGCACTAGTTGCGTTCAGCAAAATCCTGCCACGGCCGTAGTTTATCCACGCGTGTCGATCGTTAGTTCGGTAAACGCTGCCATTCCTGTATCTAACGCCGAGTGCCTATACGGGCCGGTGTTGAAGTTCCGAGCGCAGACCAGCCAGAGTCAATCGGCGACCGATTTGAAACCCGTGAACGCGTCGGTCGTCTCTGCCGTACCGAATCCTAGAGGCAATTTAGCGCACGTCACGACTCCCGGGCAAAATCTACAGGCGCAACCGATGCACGCGCAGAATTATCAGCACCAACAAATCTACTCGAACATCAATCACCTGGCATCGCAGCCGATGTACCTGCAGCATGTGCAGAACGTCCAGAGGCCCGTGATTTATCAGCCGGTTTCTTACGTCGCGACGCAGCACACGAGTCAGCAGAGTCAAGCGACCGGCGCGAACCCGATTTACACGGCCCATGCGACTTCCGTCACGGTGGTGCAGGCTCAGAAGGTCCCGGTCTACGTTCAACAGATGCAAGCCGAAATGGCCAGTCACGTGCAAACTACGAACGTGAATCAGCAGTTGCCTTACGAGATGGCACAGAGTCATCCTGTTCATTTCGCCACGTCCGTGCTTCAATCGGCCGGACAGCAACAAATTCATCCGAGCGCGTCTAACGTAGTCGTCGTCCCGGCTTCCGTCGCCGTGATGCACCACGGTCAGACGCCGCAGAGTAACATCGCGAATTTGCAAACGACCGCGACGAATCCGACGCCGCAGTACATACCGCAACCGGTCCAGATGGGAATCGTAAGATCCAGCGTGCCTCAAATGGCGACCGGCGTCGCGAAAATCACCACGTTCGTTACCCAAAAGCAAGACGAACCATTGACAAGCTCGACAGACGGTACGCTCTCCGGGTCGCTGATATCTTCCGCTGTCAGTGACAGCACAATGTCATCGAGCAGCTCGATGACAGAGGAGGCACAGCAAGACCAGGTTTGGCAATGCCTCCTAGGAATGAAAATCGCATCCTCTACTCTGCCAATTATTTTATTTTTTATTTATTTTACTTATCCGATTCGAGCGGCACCGTATCTTTTTAATTTGCAAACCGCGTGTACATACAAATGCGTAATTATACTGCTTCTGGTACATGCAGCGCGCTCACCTGCTCGTTCATATTCACACGATTAAATGGCCCTTTTTCTCTCGTTTATTGTATACAGGACGGTCCTCTCATTTTTATCAGCCATAATCCGAATTAATTTTATTTTGCAGTTTTGGTAGGCTAATCTTTGTATGCATGAAGCGACAGTGACAACGTCGTCACTGTTAACAAAGCTGAGCTGCATGTAAACGAGTATGATTGCACTACTATTGTTCTGATTATTGGTTTTGCATCGACAATTATGCATCTCTTTAATTTTATTGTGTACATACGTCTTATTAAATACGCTGTGATAGTGAGCCGCCCCGAAGCCTTCGCAAACGGACGGTTGAGAATAAAGAGTTTTCTTTAACTTTCAGAGGAATGCACAGTCTCAGTTATTCGACAGCATTACGGAAAATTTCAGCGGTGGCATCGACGATGAACAGAAATTGCTGGAGCAACGACTATTGGAGCAGCAACGGCAATCGGAGGAGGACAGTCGTTGGTTGGCAAGAGAAGAGGTGCGAATCGTTCGCGATCATCGCGCTTTTCATAAATCACATTTTACATAAACGATTATCGTAATGTTTAGAAACGCTTATCCATCGCAACGAGCGGAGATGAGAGCGCGAGTCCTCCGGTTCCACGTTCGGTCACGCAGTCACCGAGTCACGAACAGCAGCACAGCGCTAATACTGGTTCCCTGGGTTCCGATAAAGGCAGCGACAAAGTAATCATCGTAAAGGTACTGTACCTGCCCCGTTAAAGTATGAACGGTATCACGAGAAGAGTTTATTTGTTTAGAAAATGGAACCTACGCCCACCGCGGATCTGGATAGAACGAATGATAAAGTTTACGATTGTACAACGAGCGTAGTTCGCGCCGTGATGTCCCTCTCCCAAGGTATGAACTGTTGTAGATAGTTAATAATACGCTCGTTCCTGGTAATGCATCGGCGATATCGAAACGTAGGAGTTCAGCAGAGCAAGGCCGATCAATATTTGGACTTGGTGCGCAAAGTGGGCATCGAATTGAGAGCACTGCTCTCATCTGTCGATGTCCTGATGGACATCTTACCCATTTCTGCTCATCGAGAGGTAGAAATGGCGCATAAGGTCCTCAGCAAGGATATGGCAGAACTGGTAACAGCGATGAAACAAGCTCAGAAGTACAGTGCTACTACGCTGGACGCCGAATATCGAAAGTAAATGCCCGGTTTCGCGTGCAGTTCGTTCGATACTGACGTTTCAAAATATAATTTCATGGAATTTCAGGGGGATGCTGTCTGCGGCTCACATCTTAGCGATGGACGCAAAGAATCTTCTAGACGTGATCGACTCGATACGCATTCGCTATCCGTACGTAGATAGTCAGATTTGTCAGAAGCAAAACCATATTAACGTCCCGCAAGAATCCTCGGCGGAGAATCGCATCCGCTCCAGTCAATCCGGAGAACAATTTCTGAGGAGAAGCCAGTCGAGCGAGCGTCAAGGCGCGACATTCAGACAGAGCCAAAGCGGTGATCTTCTACACAGAATGGGTCAATCCGTCGATCGTTCGTTACAGGTAAATTGTACACGACGTAAAAGCCGATGACAGACAGGATTCGATTACTTGTAAAATCTGATTGATTCAGGGCAGTCAAACGGACGTTAGCAGCGGTTCCAGTTTAGAGAGAAGGCATCATATAGTCACGAACAGCCTCGAGCGTAACTCAACGACCAGGAGGCAAATGGCTACGAACAGTTTAGAGAGAAAGCGACCGTCGTTATCCTGTAATATCAGTCCCATGAACAACTCTGTAAATCTGCCACCGATGATACCAGTTACCTGTAATTTAGTCCAAACGGTAGGACCGGTCGTTCAACCGGTCACGACAGGTATCAATCAACAGTCGGTATTCGCGCCTAATAATAAAACGACGAACGAAAGTCCGACGACCGATAGCTAACAACGAGACACGTTGCGATAAGATAAGCTGTTATTTAGCTCGCGAATGAAAATCTGTTGAAGCAAGGCCCTCGATTCCTGGACGTAGCGATTGTCCGGAAATAAATCGTATTGCTCGATCAAGGGAGAACTTGGAAGTGATCGTATGTACATAAACTACGTCGTACAGTTACCCATTCACGTCTTACGCATGACTCAGCAACAGGAGATTTAGTATTCGTGCTTTATAGCTCTTTTTGACATTTAATAGACATTGTCTACACGTACTTATAGATAGGACAGTATTCGTTAGACGTAGCGATAGGATTATCTCCGAGAAGCGTAAATCACAGCTATAAAGAAATCACTCCAAAGCTTTAGGATTATTGTTAATTTGTTATTGTACGACAACATGGACAGAGTGATGCAGAAAATTTTCTTGAATAATAATTTTGTTCGTATGATATATACACGTGGCAATATACTTGAATTTTTTCTTTATAAAAGATTTGAATCGTCAAGAAATATCTTTTTGCGTCACCTTGTAAGTAGGTAGTCGAATAATTATACGTATAGATATATATATAGATATATAGATATATTTATAAATATATTATATATATATTTAAACGATCAGTTCGGAACATTGCGCGCAGAAAGTTTCATTTCGCGTAGGACACAAACTTACGAAGTTATCTTTACAATTTTATAATTTAATAGTCTGTTTCCTGCTACGAGGAGTGATCATAATCGTAAAAAAAAAACTGGGACTGAATGTTATTTCTATTAGGTAATTATTTAGCGATTCGTACCGATTAACGTGAAATTTATATAAACTGTTTTATAAAAAAACAAATCATTCTTCGCAACGGCAAGTCAGTTCCTACAAAATATTTATGAAAAGAAAAAACAGAATTTCATCTCTTCGCGTAAGGATAGTATCGATAACTTGTCAATGCAATGCGCTTGTAAAAACAGTGCATTTACGGATCTATTGATATTCCATAGATATAAAGTATTCCATTCTTTTTTTTTTACACGTTTGTTACTCCCTTTCTTGTTCCTGGGAGGATTTAGTTTAAATGAAAATCGACTGATATTTACATTGTTCATTTTATACGAAGCGTAGTTTGCAGTAGTGATAACGTGCCAACGTGTGCTTATACAATTTTGCCGTCGTGTAACAGATTGAAAATGTACAGTAACATTCTAATGCATCGTCCCAGGGACACATAACGACGTTTGATATTGCTATTGCATCTGCATAAATAATTTTATTTGAATAACCATGTGTAAATAAAATAATCAAAATTCATACATATGATTCGACGACATCGATTGAACAAACATGGTATCATTTACAGTTAGACCGAACGTTATTCTGTTTCACTTGTTTATCGAAATTCCATCGATACCTTTAAACAAAAACATTCAATCTTCTTCTTGATCTACGTTCATGCCATCTCCGGTATTGCAGCATTATATACGCATCATTTTCGTCCCCTCTTTTCCAAGTGTATAATGTAATTATCGTCAAGTATGCCATGACGAATATCGTAACGTGTGATGTAATAAAATTATTAAATATTTAGGAAGGAATCCTGTCCTTCGCGCGGAATGTACGAGTTTTAGAGAACTGCATATCTTCGTGGCACGATTAATTAATGTGCTTGACTGGTGAATCACCATCCCGATTTCTATATAAATTGACTCGAGGATAATAGAAGCTTAATTTATTTTTGTTCGGACGATAAAATTTTACAAGTTTCCGCTGCTTGCAACAAAATAACGAGTATATAAAGTATTCATAATTGATAGTGTGCACAATCGTTCGTGGGAATGCAGCTTGTTAAAAAGAGAAGGAGGAAATAGGCACTAAAATGAAATCAGTCTGTCGTTCATTCAGTCATTCATCTTGTTATTGTTATAGGCAGTAAATGATGCAGAGAGAGAGAGAGAGAGAGTGTGTGTGTAAACGTATAAAAAAGTATTTATAAAACTGTGTAAAGGTAACTATGTATTATGACACGGAGCAAAGTAATAAACAGCAAGAATGATTTCGGCATCAGGAAGGATCTTCTATTTACCGTGCTTCGAGCTGTAATGTTTGACACCATTAATCACCGAACACCTGGCGTATTTCGTTAAAGCTGCGTTCACGTTCATTTTCTGACTCGTTAAATTTCTGTAAAGACAACATCAGAAAGATCATTTATGTTTAACCAACAGGTTCATTCTTACGTTATGTACGGTGTAATCTCTTCGACTGTCCACTTATCCTTCTCTTTGAAAAGTGCATTAAATCGTTCGTTAATATCCTTTGGTAGGTCGGTCTCTGCGTAGGATACCACTTCCTTCTCCATCGTTAAACTGTTCCACTTGATAAGAGCGATCCCGTTCAAGTACTCCTCTTTCGGTTTTATCTCTACATACAAACGAGTTCAATGTTTCATTCGTACGCACGTCACGTATCTTTATTACGAACATTCTTGTATACTTTCTGGCGTGCCGATATTCCATGATTCCATGAACTGCTTGTACTCAGTGACTGGAGAAGCAGCGAGGAGGACCTTTGCCAAAGTTTTACAACACTGCTCCTCGTTATATCTAAAACATTGCGAGTAATTGAAACGAACGAAAGCCACGCATTCGAAACCTGAGAGAGATCGTTCACCTATGTAATCTCGTTCCATCCTCTTTAGATTTGTCACTTGTATTTGTATACTTTTTAAACAGGGTATCAAAAACTGGTTTGGGTATAAAGTCTTTTAAATGGTCATACGTAAGTTCTCTATCCACCTCGTCTATTTCCCAACTAAATTCCTCGAAGAGATCTAACATGAGGGTCACACATCGAACTTTGAATTCGAACGATATCAACCGAAAATAGCCTTGGGACAAAAATAGAAGACAGCTGTATAATCACGTAACACGGTGCTACAGCTGTTACGTAGTTCAATACCATCAATATTGACTATGAAGTAATCGTTCAAAGCTTGAACCAGTTCCTCTTCGCTAGCTTGTATCTCATTTTGCAATCTACGCCAATCGTACAGATCTTCTTCAGGTATCGACGATTCGTATTCGACTCCCTTGTAAGACGTCGGTTCGAGTATAGTGAATAATTTTTCCAATCTGGGCTCACATTCCTTTGCCTTAAACATTAGAGCAAAGGTTTGTAACAGAAGCTCAGAGAGATCTTTGCCTTATATAGATACCTCAAAATATGTATGAAAAATCCCTGAAATATTGAGAACCTTCATTGTTCTATCAGGTGTGTCTACGTTTGTTTGTTCAGACAACTCTAAGTTAGGTGTTAACATCAGGGAATTCGATATTTCCACTTCTTTGACGTCGTACGTTCGATTTTTAGTACAGAGCACCACGGTATCATTCTTACAGCCCTGAAACTTTAAACTGAAATGTTTCAGATGTAATAATAAGTGATGAACAAAATCTGAACGAACTCAAACGAACGTGTACCTCTCTCCCTTCTCGATCGTCTTCAACAAGTTCTCATCGAGTTCCAATAATTTTACACGCTCGTGCATATCGCGTTCTCGCTCGGAGAACAAGATCTGCGTTACACTTTGCAAGTCTGATTCCTTAATAGCAGCCAGCTGCAAATTCTCCCGTACATCTTCTATCGTCGGCGAGTAGCTTCGAAAAGTTAAAAGGCACATAAATGATACATTCTCAACGCACGCGAAATTCGGAATCTTACCCGGTGCTCGTTGTTTCCATCGCGTGATGTTTAGGAATGTTGCAAGCTAAATTATTAGTAACTCATTCAAAGATGGTCCTGTTGAGCACAAAATCGTTTTATCGTCGGTACAAAATTATAATATAGTAAATCCAGTTCTATCCCAGCGCGTCTATTTCCATTTTATACCAATCGTAACGTAAATCACAAAGATGGAGATGTAGTTTCGATTCATCGGGAGCACGATCGGGAGTGTATAGGATCGCCAGTGGCCATATTAATTGCCGTTCCGTTATTAGAAAACTTTGTCGTGATCAAAAAGTCTGAATTTGCACAATATTCTTTTCCACCGAGGTACGTACAATTAATCACTGTTAAATACGATGCAATAAAAAAAAAATAAAAAAATAAACATCAAGTATATTTTCGTCCGAAAAGCTGCGATGATAATTGCAAAATTGAGGCAATGAATTGTTCGGTATCAATTCTTATTTATCGGCTTTCGACAAATATTTACAGTGTCGTTTGTTTTTTTTCTGTCGATAGACAAGTGTTAGATTTGTCGGGGAATGTCGTGTTTTAACCTCCTGACATCCGTCACAAAGTAGAATATTTTATCCAATAGGCGGACATCTATTTGTAGTATATTAATTAATGTAATTTTTCATTTAGAAAAGCGACCATCCTATAAAACACAAACATGTCAAGCGACGTGAACACCCAGGCGGAGAAGGTACGTTACGTGGAGAATGTAATGCATGCTAAATTTTTTTTTATGACAGTTGGGATATGTGACGTGTATTTAAGAAAGAAAACATACGTACCGTTACGATTGGGCTACTATCATAACTGCAGTTTCATTAATTCCTCTAATTGGAAAAACAGGAAAATTATGGTAAAGCCAATATGTTGATTAATGATAATTTTTCTTTGGATCAAGCCCAATGAGGACGAAAGTATCGATAAACCAGAAGAGGAAGAAGGCACTTCATCTATTGATCTGGATGCGGTACCTATTTCTGCAAATTAAAATTTTGCTGCTTTTAACAGTCTCTCTCTCTCTCTTTCTCTTTTCTGTTCCTTGTATTGCTTGCCTTCGATTACTAACAATAGGGTAGTTGCACGTTAGTTCATGTACCAATAACATCTAAACCTGAATATATGCATACAGCGTAATGTACGGGAGTGGGATGATCTTTTAGGAAGAGAATGGGATTGTTTACGGGGGCTGCGAGGGACCGAACGCGATGTACGTGAAGCTCGTCAGCAGCGATGGGCACGAGTTCATTGTTAAACGCGAACATGCTCTGACCAGTGGGACGATAAAAGCTATGTTGAGCGGGCCTGGCCAGTTTGCGGAGAACGAGGCTAACGAAGTTAATTTCCGTGAAATACCGTAAGTTCCGTTTCGATCTCGCGAACGATGAGGTCTAAATCGCATATTAAATTACGTTACTTTCAGATCTCACGTACTGCAAAAGGTTTGCATGTATTTTACATACAAAGTGCGGTACACGAACAGCAGCACGGAGATACCGGAATTCCCAATTGCACCCGAGATCGCATTAGAATTATTGATGGCTGGCAACTTTTTAGACTGTTAAAAATAATATGTCGATAGCAACTGATTCTCGGGCATGCCGTTTGTGACAGTCTAGTCTCGAAGGACTAAGCGATTCAGTTGTATTTTAAAAAAATGTTCATCTTTGCATTTTATATTTTGCAGTTACGTTTTTGATAACTGAACATAATTATGTTATATTGGGCATTGAATATGCGAAATCAAAGTAATCAGTGAATCAAAGTTTCGTTGGTCGTCGTCTACGCTGTTGATTTGTATCTCAGTGACAATTGTAGAAAAAGGTTTGCGTTGTACACAGTTGACACAGAAATAATTGATATTTTCATTTTTGAAAATATGTTCAATACGTTATAGACACATCTTTACTTCTGTATAGAAATATTTTCTTGGAGTTTCCCTCATCCGTCACACAGATCACACGATTATTTTCGAATAAATTCTGTAAAGGTCTCCTATATTTTTTTCATGTAGAAAGTATGACATAGGCTTATAAGTAGAACATGTTATATTTAGAAATGTATAATGTGATATAATATAAGGAAAGAAGAAGAAGAAGAACACGCAACACATTTTTACGAAATCTTTATAAAGAAATGTGTACGTGTCAGACTGTACTCTAACATGATTAATTATAAGAATTGGATTTAACCTCCCTCGTTTCTTACCTCCGTAAGCGAAAATGCAATAGTATTTAAACTGATTTCATTCTTAATTAAATAATAAACAATAATTTAATAAATACCACAATGGAAACCAGTTCTATTTACACGTTTTACTTGCTCTTGGCATCTTTCTCAATGTCCTTAAACTTGGCTTCTAACCTTTTCGAGTACGCTGCCAGTTTATACGCAGCTTGCTCTAATTTCGTTACACTATCATCGATCTCGTTGATATTGTCCAAGATCGGTTGCAATTTCTCGTATTTCTCGTTTAAAGCATCCAGAGACTGAGCCACACTCGAGGATATCGTCTTTAACTCGGTGTACTTGGCGATCGTTTCCTTGTTCAAGCGTTCCAACAAACGATAGTCGGCGTGTGTGGCAGTAAGCTCTTCCTGCAAATATTCTCCGGTCTTTTGAAACATCGTATTAGCTAAACGACTGAGATTCGGATCGTGCGGATCCAATGCCTCGAAACTGCTCGTGCTCGTCGACAGAGTAGTTCCACGTTTAGGTGATTCACACCTCGAATTCAGATCTGAATTCTCCGAGAACGGAGGCTGCTCGATCTGAGGGTCCTCTTTCACCGATTCTTTAACCGACGTCATTGCCGCGGTGAACGATTATATCTTTAACAATAACAAGTTGAAAACTCCCACAACCTCTGACATTACTGTCACTGTCAGGTTCAGTTCAGTGTTCAGTCCTGTTTAGTCGGCTGAGTCGGCTCTGTCCATGGTTCAGTGTGATAGCCAGTGATAGCGCAGTAATAAATGACAAGTCCGACACGTGAACGATAATTTACTGTAGTATAAGAGATAAGAATTAATATGTAGAAAAATTGGTCTTTTCCCTATCTCAAGTGTTTACATAATAATAAAAAACAAAATCTTCAAATCTCCTGTACTTGATCAGTTAATCCTTTTACACGCATCTGTCTATGTCCTATTCATACTTCGTGATGTTTTGTGTCTGACTACCGCGTTCTTAAAAATGTTTCAAGAAGAATTCTTAAATGACATAAACAAGTTTGATATCGAGTAACAGAAATATATTCGATAACGGTGTATAAAGAGATTAGCACTCAATTTGCAATTCATCTCGTCTCGTTGTAACGGTAGCATCAGCATCAAACAGCAGGAACAGTCAAGTGTCAGCGGTGTCAGCTAGTATACATCTACATTGAAAAAAATACAAACGTGTTGCACTGTACTTGACACGAGAATCGTTTATATTCGGTACTTAATTATACATTAATAAACATGGATCAATATAATTTATTGTCAACTAAAGTCGGTTTCATCGGCGGGGGAAACATGGCAAGTGCTATCGGCGCTGGTTTAATTCGTAAAGGTAATAAAATTCTATTGGAAAGACAACAGCCGGCGATCAGTTCTGGATGAATGAAAAATTGGTTTTACAGGCATTTTAAGTCCGAACAACGTTTGGGTCTCCGCCCGTACAAATAAAACTCTAGGCTTTTGGAATGATCTGGGTGCACATGCAACATTAAAAAATGGAGAAGTGGTAGACAATTGTGAAATCATATTTTTGGCAATGAAACCCCATATGCTGGATGATGCACTCAGTGGTATCTTGTCAACGATAACAAAGAAGGGTTCACATATACTGTTTGTCTCAGTTCTTGTAGGAGTCACGTTGGAGACTTTAGCTAGTGTAAGACCATCAAACATTTACCAACTCCAGAAGATTCATTGAATGTACGTCTCATTTTCAGAAACTAAAAGCTATCGTCGCATATCCTAGAATAGTCAGATGTATGCCCAACACTCCAATGATGGTTGGAGAAGGAATAACAGGTACAAATTTTAATGTTCTTCGTGTAATTAATATGCTTGATATACTTTTTGGTTCTAGTGTACTGTTGCATGAACACAACGGATCAAGACGAAACTATGGTGGAAACGTTATTTTCATACATCGGCATGGCAGAACATGTTCCCGAGTCTCTTATGAACGCTATAGGTGGTCTTTCAGGATCTGGTCCTGCTTATGTGAGCGATACAAGGGAATTTACGTTTGTTGAAAACAGTTGTTAAAATTAAATGAAATTTCCAGGCATACCTCGTTATAGAAGCATTGGCAGACGGTGCTGTCAAGATGGGAGTTCCAAGACCGATGGCAACTAAATTTGCAGCACAAGTATTAGTCGGAGCTGGTAAAATGGTTTTAGAGACTGGCAGGCACCCTGGCCAGTTGAAGGACGAAGTATGCTCGCCAGGAGGTACAACTATCACAGGAGTTCATGCCATGGAGACTGGACAAGTCAGGTAAAAACCATTAACATTTGTATCGATACATTTTATGACTTAATAAATGTATTTACAGAGCTTCCATGATGAATGCAGTTGAAGCTGCAGTGAAAAAGGCAAACGAGTTAACTTCTAAGATAAAATAAACTTTAGTGTGAAAGATTGAAGCTGGGTAAATGGTGAACATAAATTATGTTATTTTTCGTATAATATTTTTATAAGATGTGATGTACTTTGACGATGTAAACAGTGGGAGTAAATGAAAGGGTTATATAATATATATTATATAATATACACGCATTTAATTTTAATTCATCTTTACACAGAATGTACTTATAGCTATCTTATAGCTTATAGCTTATGGGTTGTACTTTAATAAATCTTAATTAAATCTCGTTGTTTCTATACTCTACGAAAAAGATTTCACGTTTTTGAATACTCTACGCAACGGGACGGATCTGTAGGGTAATATTCCTGGCACTTAGTCATTAGCCTCTTTAACGCTTGAATATATTTTCTCTGAGTCTCATCATTCATCACATGTGCCACGTTCTTTGAGAAAATCTTTTCTCTTCCGGTTCTCGCGTGAATACCGACCATAGTTACGCCGATAGGCCACGGAGAGTTTCCTATTGCCATTTGCAAGTACGAATCGCTGGCCAATATGTAATTTCGTTCGAGTAGATGTTTTACGATCTCGGTCAAACTGTCAGTGATATCTTCTGGTAAGGACTTGTTTTTTAATTTCCTAAGCAAGGGCTTTAGATATTCTCTCGTTTGAGCATAAGTAGCACTGGCCATTTTCCCTCTGGTACCCATTTTCTCGGCAGTGCTCCTACTGTTTAATTGATTGCCCCACATTTGCACCAAGAACTGTATGAATTGCGTGATAACATTCATGTCAAAGTCTCTATCACCCTTGTTCAATTTGACAGACATCTTCTGCAAATCTTCGTAAGTAACTCCCTCGTCCGGTACGTGCACATCTCCTTTTCCATCACGATCTTGTGGTTTTGAAGATGCTAATATCTCATTCAAGTATGCTTGATCTACCTGTTCCATGGCTTCTTGAAAATCATTTCTGAAACCTTTGTTCACTTCGGGCTCAAGGATTTCACATTTCCTCAGCCGTTTGAACGCTTCTATCTCTGATTCTCCGAACAATAATATAGGCTCGCTTCTCTCGCGTAATCTTTTGATCACTTCGTGCCTAGGTAACGTTAAATGCTCGGAACTACCGTCAGCTACGGAGTCTTCTTGTTGACGGATCATGTTAACCGCTACATCCTCATCTTTATTCTCCTTCACTTCCTTTACATGGTGATCTTTCGCAATCAATTCACCTCTTCTAAAATATTTTCTGTTGTTCTGCAAGACGTTGCTTTCCTCCAGTTGTTTTCTCTTTTTCATTATTTCAGCTCTTAAAATGTCCATCCTAACCAAGCTTTTATTACTTGTAAAATCACTCTAGTAGTATTTGTTTAGATTTATTATAAAAATCGGCGCATAAACGTTGTAGGTGAAAAGGTTAAAGTTCGTGTACTTTAACCAAGATCTGATAAACCGCGGTAACGGGAGAAAATTGAAAATTTAACACGATTAATAGTATACGCAATCGTAATAAATTAAATGTCTAAATCATCACAGCGCTCAGCTCACCTCTCACACTCTCACGGTCTCACCTCCACTACTCCACTCCACTCTCACTGACTCTCACACTCTCACCTCTCTGAGAAGTACTGAGAACGTGAGAACACGTGTCCACAAATCGGAGCGCTAACCTCTTTTTACTACGTGCAACTACGTGTAATAAGTAATAACTGGCGATGGTCTATGTATGACACGCCGAATCGGATAGATTACATCAGTGTACCAGCCGGTACCGAATAATTTGTCAAACAGTAATTGATAAAGATGATGGAGAAACTGCCTGAAACGATCAATTTCCCGAAGGAAGAGGCGATCATATTGGAACTGTGGAAAAAGTGTGACGCGTTCCAAAATTGTCTGAGACTGTCCAAAGGAAAACCAAAGTATTCATTCTACGATGGTCCACCGTTCGCGACGGGATTGCCGCATTACGGGCATATACTCGCAGGAACGATAAAAGACATCGTGACAAGGTATGCCTATCAAACTGGTTATCACGTGGAGAGAAGATTCGGCTGGGATACTCACGGTTTGCCCGTCGAATTCGAAATTGACAAGGAATTAAACATAAAAGGTCCCGACGATGTTGCTAAAATCGGTATAGCGAATTATAATAAGGAATGCAGGAGCATAGTAATGAAATATGCGACGGAATGGGAAACGATTGTTGGTAGAATTGGCAGATGGATAGATTTCAAAAATGATTATAAAACGTTGTATCCTTGGTACATGGAAAGTATATGGTGGATCTTTAAGGAGTTGTACAACAAAGGTCTCGTCTACCAAGGTGTCAAAGTTATGCCCTATTCCACGGGCTGTAACACACCCTTGTCGAATTTTGAGTCTGGTCAAAATTACAAAGACGTTGTGGATCCCTCTGTAGTAGTGTCGTTTCCTTTGATGGACGAGCCAGGTGTCTCTATTCTTGCCTGGACCACGACACCCTGGACTCTACCCAGTAACATGGCACTCTGTTGCAATCCTACTTTCGAATATGTAGAAGTGAAGGATTACTCTTCTGACAATGTCTACATCATACTAGAGTCAAGTTTGGATCTTATATACAAATCTAAAGAGTCTTATACCATTCAGGGTAAAAGAAAGGGATCTGATTTAAAAGGGAAAAGGTACGAGCCTCCTTTTCCGTACTTCCTACATTTGAGGAACAACGGAGCTTTTGTGGTGTTAAATGATACGTACGTTACGGCAGAATCTGGTACAGGAATTGTTCACCAAGCACCATACTTTGGGGAAGATGATCATAGGTGTTGCCTGGAAGCTGGAATCATCACGAGAGACCAAGAGATCGTATGTCCTATCGACAGTTGTGGGCGTTTCGTGGAGCCGGTGCGTGACTTTGTTGGAAAGTACGTAAAGGATGCTGATAAGGATATTATCAAGTATCTTCAAGCCAACAAGAGATTAGTCTACAGTGGATCTACGAAGCACAGTTATCCATTTTGTTGGAGATCTGATACACCTTTAATATACAAAGCAGTGCCCTCGTGGTTTATAAGAGTTGAATCTATAAAGGAGAAGCTGATCGCAGTGAACAGCAGCACTTACTGGGTGCCAGACTATGTAAAAGAGAAACGGTTTGGTAACTGGTTGAGAGACGCTCGGGACTGGGCTGTCAGTAGGAATCGTTATTGGGGTAATCCGATCCCGATATGGATTTCAGAAGACGGACAAGAAATCGTGTGCGTAGGAAGCATCGCAGAGTTAGAGGAATTAACGAACACGAAAATAACGGACATTCATAGAGAGAGTATCGATCATTTGACCATACCATCGAAGCGCCCGGGGTGCCCGCCGCTGCGACGCGTACCCGAAGTATTCGATTGTTGGTTCGAATCTGGCTCGATGCCGTACGCCCAAATGCATTATCCTTTCGAGCATCGAAGAGAATTCGAAGAAAGTTTCCCAGCCGATTTCATTGGGGAAGGTATCGATCAAACTCGTGGATGGTTTTACACACTTTTAGTTATATCAACAGCTCTCTTTGGGAAAGCTCCGTTTAAGAATCTTGTAGCCAACGGTCTGATACTTGCGTCTGACGGACAGAAAATGTCAAAACGCAAGAAGAATTATCCAGACCCTATGGAAATTATCAATAAATACGGAGCGGACGCTCTTCGTTTGTACTTAATCAATTCTCCCGTTGTAAGAGCGGAGAATCTGCGATTTAAGGAGGAGGGAGTCAGGGATGTCATAAAGGATGTATTTCTCCCGTGGTACAATGCGTTTCGATTTTTAATGCAAAACGTCGAGAGATTTGAAAGAGAAGAGAAAGTTAATTTCGTGTATGACGATTCTCGAGGTGTATACTCCGATAATATAATGGATAGATGGATCCTGTCTTTCACGCAGACTTTGTTACAATCTTTTAAACGAGAAATGCAAGCTTACAAACTGTACACTGTGATACCGCACTTGGTAAAATACATAGATAATCTTACTAATTGGTATGTACGAATGAATAGAAGACGTATAAAAGGGGAAGGCGATTCGACCGATTGTCAACAAGCATTGACAACGTTATTCTCTGTTCTTTATACAATAGTATGCGTGAATGCACCGTTCACACCGTTTTTAACAGAATTCATGTTCCAGCGCCTGGTGAAATTACTTCCTCCGATAAAGGGTAACATGGACAGTGTACACTATCAAATGATACCAGAATCTAATCCGCAGTTGATAGACGAGAAGATTGAAAGTGCCGTATCTTACATGCAGACTGTGATTGAGCTCGGACGTGTAGTAAGAGACAGGAAGACCATTCCCGTCAAATATCCATTGCCGAAAGTAATAGTGATTCATCAAGATCCTAAAGTATTGAAGGAACTCGAAACATTAAAGTCTTATATCCTGGAGGAACTTAACGTGAAAGAGTTGATAGTTACCACAGATAAGAACAAGTACGGTGTTAAACTGCGGGCCGAGCCAGATCACAAAACTCTTGGAGCACGTCTCAAGGGGGAATTCAAATCCGTTACTCAGGCTATTAAAGAACTTGACGATGAACAATTACAAGTATTTATCGCGCAGAAGGAGATCACGGTGCAAGGTCATAAATTGGAAGAGCAAGATTTACGATTGATGTTCAGTTTTACCGGGCCAGCTGCGGAACAGCTGTCTAAACAGTATGAAGCTCATAGCGAAGGAAACGTTCTAATTCTGTTGGACGTTACACCCGACGAAAGTATGCATAATGAAGGAATAGCGAGAGAAGTAATTAATCGCGTACAGAAACTTAGGAAGGAAGCTCAGTTGGTTCCATCGGACGAGGCAATCGCGTATTACAAGATACAAGATCAAGACAGCAATTTAGCTAAAGTAATCGTTAGTCACAAAGAGTTGATCGAGAATGGGACCAAGACCCGGGTAGAAGATGTAACGAAAATGTCAAGTGAGGCTAATATAATTATTAGGAAGATGCAGAAAATTAAAGGCATAGACATGGATCTTATTTTAGTGAATCCTGGGATGGGTCAGATTAAGAACGACGAATCGATTGTAGAACCGTTTTTGAAATACGCGAACGTTGAACTTGCAGGCATGAAACCAAGATTCGGTGCGACTAGTTGTACGGGTACTGTATTATTAGAAATCCCAAATTCGCCAGCCTCTATCTCTTACGAGCAGTTGAAACACGAGATCGAGTTAATATTCGGTATTTACGGCTGTACCTATGATTTGTATGCAGGCAATAAATTAATATCGCAGGAGACGAACATTTCGTCGTTGCATAAACAAACGATAAGAATAGTGAAGGCAGGTTCAATTGTGAGACCAGTGTCCGCGGAGCAAGAGGTGCCGGTCTGTAAATTTGTTAACGTTAACAGTATTTCGGGAAGAGGTACTATTCTTTTGGAGAATCCAAAGGGGAGTTTCAATTTAGACGACACGATGTTGAAGCAACGATTAAACATTTTATTTAAAACATCCAACTTGACTAAACTCGTGCCGAAGCTGGTGAACGAGTTACACGGAAAGACACTTGAATTAAGTTAAGTTCTATTTAAAAGTAATTTTCATTCATTATTTATTTGCGTTTAATCACATACGTCCTCCTCGAAGATTTGGTAATTTCATAGCTAGATTGTAATTCTTCGCCTTGCACGAGGACCTGCACGATTCTTGGGAAAAAACAAATTTCAACGATTTTGTACAACTAAAATAATAAAAGATCATTATCATAAACTATACAATTGTATACTTTGATTGATTGAATTTATTTCTGCATTTCAATAAATCAAGATAAACTAAAAAATTGTATTTACATAAATTTAAATCAATGAGAAAACCACAAGTTCCACTGACGCAAGAGAACGTGAAATAAATACGAAACTGTTTATTTCATATTTAATAAAAATTGTGACGGTGTATGATCTTTCTATTAACTACTATAGTACACTGTATTACAGAAGTAATAATAAAACACTGTCAACATCATTTGTTAGAAAATATAACAAAACTTTTACGGAGATGACATCTTTTCCTAAAAAGTTATAATTACGATTATTTAATAAACCGTGAAAATTATGTACATACACTGTTGACGATTTTTATCAACTTTTTTTTTAACAATTTATGTGACGGTGCTTGAAACTGAAATTAACATCATAAGCTCCGGAAGATTATAAAAGTATAATTGGTTTCTTCTAGTACGTATGTTTAATTATAGATCGTACATCGTTACGAATGCATGACTGTACTTTGCACGTAAATTGAGAACGTAGAAATGTGATGAAATTTTTTTCGTTGAGAACATTGCTGCAATTAGTTCCTTGCGATATTTATTATGCCCAATTAAATACACGAATAACGTTTATCCAGGATTTCACAAATACGTCTGAGCGAACAAATGCTATTAAAATAGTAATCGCGTTCGAATTTATTGCACCTCATATTTTCGTGAGCCCTGTTTACGAACTGGTAAAAATAACAACTTGTATGTCTCGTTCTGATTAATGTCAGGAACCAATACGATGAAATGATGTTGTGTTAAAAACACGTTCACAAAATCACGATCTGAACGTTTTCAACTGCCTTATTTGTCACAGATTTCCTCGTTACTGATACACCATTAATGTTATCGACAATCCGAAAATGACAGTGATCGCATATAATGCAACCGTAGCGCTCGTGGTAAAGAATTGAGCGCAGTGGTATCGGAAGTACCAAGCTAAGCTCAATATGAGAGTAACAATGATTACTAAAGGCCTGCTCAAGTCCCAGTCGTTGTGTACCGAGCTGAGTTCCGTGCCGACGGGGATGTCGGAGAATGCTTGAGGATTAAAATAAATCGGTGACGAATTGTCCAACGTCGAAGCCGAAGACGGTGCAGGGTTCTGTCGTGGCTGGTGTACCAAACAATGAACGACACAATTGTTGAACATGCCACATTTCTCCAACGTTTGATTATCGGGCTGCAACACTCGGCCATTAAAGACTAAACGCACTAACTTTTGTGCATTGAGCTCAGTTTGAAAGTGCCTCCTAGAATAATATGAATATTCAATATACTATATTATTCCGATTATTGTTCATCTATATGTTCTATACATCAGTCGAGATAGTAACCTTTTAAAATCTCCTAAAAACTCTTTAAGACTACCAGTAACCAACTTTTGATCGTCGTTTATAAACTTGAGTTTTATGCTAATTTTGTTAGCATCGTTTTCAACTTTCTGTTCTGGAGGTTCGTTACACGTCGACGACGATATAGTCGTTTCCTTGGAAGGATTTATCTTAGTTTGTTTTTGCAGTAACGTCGCGTTATCATTATTAAATGAATCCATGGCTTCGATAAGTACTTGCTCTGTAGCTGCTGCCTCGGGTGTTCCATTTGTTTCAGGAGTAATTCCTCCGTTTGCATCTATTATGAGAAACAACGAACGGTTCTAGCGTTTCTATTACAGTTTTATCCGAGTACTTTTAAACAGGGCATATCACCTGCAGCAGATGAATCGGAGGAATTCTGCGAATTGCCACCACTATTATCATCCGCAATTGTTTCTTCGTCTTCGGTCACCTCCAAATTGGGAGGTCTTGAAAACGAACTAGCATTTTGGTGAATGGCTCTGTACGTCTCAGCAAGGCGTGTGCGTGTTCTATGCACCACGAGTACTGTGCGTATCAATGGGTGATCCTCTGTAATACTTGTAGAATACCAGGCAAGCCATCCTACTACGAGGACGATCACAATAATAAAAAAGTCTGTCACTTCGTCTCCAACGCCCTCGATAAGAGTCATTTCTATGATTTAGTTGTAACCTGTGCACAAAACGATGAACATACAGTAAGAAAATAAACTGTAATATGATGCGTGTAATAATTGTGTTGTGTGGTTCAGAGCGAAAATTTATTTGAACGTGTCAACATATGCGAGTTCGTACACGTGCATATATTACAAATTTTATATTAAAAGGATGGAGTCGTTCTTTAACGTTTTTTACGAATACGAATTGACAGTGAATCGAGATGTGAGAAAAGAGTAACCCCGATCTGGTTTCAATGTCCTCAAGGTGAAATCGATAATACTTTTTTGACACAAATAATTGTGGCGGAACGATATCCGAGAATAACGCGGACGATAGCTTGCATAACTAGAATATATTTGCATTACTTTCTAACGCTTTTCAATATGCAGTACGCCAGTGTTATTTAAACGTCTGCAGAAAAACCTGAACGAGGATAACGATTTTGAACGTTCCCCTTGGTATTATAAAATAAAATTCACGTTGCCGTGCGAGTTGTCGTCTTTCGTAGAATACTCTATTCTTACCTTAATTTATACAGATCACAGGAAACGAAACAAAATTAAAGCTTCACCAAAAACATTTACAAAAATCTCATCTACAAATATCTGGAGATGACGCAGATAGTTTACGATGACAGCCAGCGACATACGTGAACCAGTTCGTAATTAAATGAAAATGCATAAACGAGCTCGAAAATTCTTAATTAATGCGATTTGAAGAGAGATTTAATGTTAGTCACGATTATTGGTGTGGTAATTATTTTATTAAGTATGCAATAACAAATGTAACGAATCGTTACTTATAGTTACTGATTGTTAGAACATGTTTGACATGCTCCATTTTACAAACACGGTAGACTCCGACGTGTGCTTATAATAAATTCATAAATGCGTTACAATGTATAAACTTTGCAGGCAATAGGCTTTATTTTATAATAATAAATGGTGAACGGTGAACGTGTACCAAAACTGTGTCACGTGTCACAGTGACAGTAGTATTGCATATATGCGTGTAACAGATGTTATAAAGTGAGCGGTGTGTTTAGTCTGGTATCAGTTACACCGTTAAAATGGCTGAATTAATTGCGGTCCCGTTGAAAAAACCGTCTGATGTTGATATCGTTAAACCGTTGACGAACGTAATTAAATCGACGTACAGCAATGCGAGCAATCAGAAAGATTATACGGAGGCAATAACGGAATTCAGTAAACTAAGGAACAACGCTTTGTGGCGAGCTTTCGAAAAGTATGAAAGTTCACTGGAGGTTATATACAGGTATGAGTCATCTTTAAATGATTGTAACTTCATTTTTAATGATGACATTATCCAGAAATATTGCATAAACATTTTATTGCGTGCGGTTTTGTTACTGTCTTACGTTGTATAATGATTGTTTTAAAAATAAACGCAGTTCCCGATCACAATTGTCAGCATTTTATGAGCTTTGTTCTAGACGTGCTAATGTCATGTAATTGTAATAAACTGATTTGACAGTAGGCAGAAACCCAATTCTAGATAGTAAACTGCCTTTAAACCCTTCCAGCTACTATGATCAACTGTGCGCATTGGAGGGCAAAATACCTGCCCACGAACTGCAGATTCCATTTAAATGGAAAGATGCATTTGATCGTACTATATTTGGTGGGAAACTTAGCCTGAGTAAGTTTTTTTTTATTTTAATTATAAGAATATAAAGAGCACTTGCTTTTTATTTGTGCTGATTAACGAGACTAATAGCCACAGAGATAAGATAAGACCAAATTACTGATAGAATCAGTACTTGTAACTTTGTTTTTCATTATACCCAAAATGAATTGTAATATTTAATTTCCAGCAATTAGCACACTAGCATATGAAAAGGTGTGCGTGTTATTCAATATTGCTGCTCTACAAAGTTCAGTTGCAGCGACGCAATCCTTAGAAAGTGACGAAGGGTTGAAACTAGCTGCGAAGCTTTTTCAACAATCAGCTGGGATTTTTAATTATCTTAAATCGAACGTTATGATGGCTATTCAACAAGAACCAACACCGGACATCAGTCCGGAAACGTTAGGTGCTTTGTCTGCCTTGATGCTTGCTCAGGCTCAAGAGATATTCGTGCACAAAGCAATTCACGATGCTATGAAGGATGGAATTGTTGCCAGATTAGCTGCACAGGCTGAAGAATTGTATGCAGATGCGTTAAAATTATTCCAAAAGGAAATTTTCAGGGCATTCTGGGACAAGGAATGGATTCCTCTGGTGTGTACATAAATCTTGACTCGATAATTCATGCGAAATACATATTGATTAGTTGTTATTAACATAGATTGCGGGCAAGCAAGCTGGGTATCGGGCAATGACCGAGTTTTATCAGTCGTTGGTGTGCAAGAATAACAAGCAAATTGGTGAAGAAATTGCACGACTAGAGGTAAATCTTATGCTCTGTCGACCAAGTATGTAGACATAAAACTATAATTGAGACATGCATGTTTAGCATTCCGTGGAGTTGTTCAAAGCTGCGCAACAGCGTTCGAACAAACCTAATTTATTCCAAGATTATGCTAATAGAGCTCAGAGAAATCTCACGGAAGTGAAGAAAGACAACGATTTCATTTATCATGAGAGAATACCGGATATTAAATCATTGGAACCGGTTGGAAAGGCTAGTGTCGCGAAATTGATAACAATGCCTGAAGTCTTTAGCGCAAATTTCAAAGGTCTGTCGGATACGATAAAAATTTTAGTAACACTATTCGTATTTCACGTATATATTCTTATGTCTAGACTTGTTTGCTGATTTATTACCCGTTAGTGTACATCAAGCGATGTCATCGTACGATGTTCGCCGCAATGAATTAGTTAATTCGGAAATTTCCAAACTGCGCGAGATGACGCAAGTCTTAAACGGGTACGATGATTATACTTACGTCTATGAGCATATTCGATTATCATCACTTGGAAATTATATTTTCAGTGTGTTGGCAAGTTTAAATTTGCCGGCAGCTATCGAGGACACAAGTGGCACCCAACTGCCTCAATCTGTGTTAGAAAAAGCCCAGTACATAAGAGACGCGGGAGGAATTAAAGCTTTGGATAACGCCACGAAGGAATTACCTGATCTATTGCAAAGAAATAAAGAACTTTTGGACGAGGTAAATAAATATATAAATCACAACTGTTGCTAGATATAATTCGTGATTATTCTTCTAGTGTGATCGAATGCTTCAAGAAGAACGTCAGTCTGACGATCAGCTGCGAGAACAGTTCAAAGAGCGCTGGAACAGAACAGCTAGTAGTAATTTAACACAGCAGTTCCATACTACTTTACGCAAGTACCGTGAAATAATTAATAACGCTGTCTCGGCTGATAAGGTAAAGCGTATATATGGAAAATAATAATTGGAAATAATGTGTTTCTAAATAAGTGTTTGTCGGTACAGATCGTACGTGAGAAGTATGAAACGAACAAGGAGGGAATGGAAATTTTAAGTTTAGATGAAAGCGCATTGATCAATGTAGTACCAACAGGCTCAGCGGTTCAAGAGAGCAATACGGTCGCCCAACTTAGAAGTCTAATGGAAAATGTAAGTCTTTCTGCTTCTCGTACATTGGCTTTTTACTTTATCGTTACATTGATTCAAGGTCGAAGCATTGAAAACAGAGCGCGACGTAATAGAGAGTGAATTAAAGTCTGCTGTTACCGACATAAAGTCTACATTCTTGTCGGCGCTCGCAAAGGACGGTGCGATCGACGAACCAAATTTATCCGTCGAAACTTTAGGGAAGACGTACGGACCTTTACAAAAACAAGTGAGGGACAGTATTGCGCGTCAGGAACAACTGATCGCTGAGATTCAAGTAGGTATAGTAATTTCGTCGTAATTAGATCGTTTCTACGATTTTAATCGTGAAACGATTACAGAGGTGCCACGCAGAATTTACAGCCGAGCAGTCTGGTACCGGTAGCGCGAGAGAGGCAATGTTATGTAAATTGGCAGCTGCTTACGACGCATTTAAAGAGTTGAAAGGCAACTTGAACGAAGGTGCTAAGTTCTATAATGACTTGACGCAGGTAAATTGATCGCGTAATAAAATATACTAATGCCGTGAGTACAAAAAATTCATAATTCGTCCTTTATCTGTAGTTGTTGGTAGTCTTCCAAAACAAGATATCGGATTTCTGTTTCGCCCGGAAAACCGAGAAGGAGGAACTACTGAAAGACTTGACGTCGAATCTGAGTCAACCCGGTCCAGTTACCACTCCCAACATTCCAGCGCATCACGGAGGTACAAATTCAACTTGCAAATGACCGTGCACATGTTCTTTACATGCATTTTTTAAATTTGATTGCGTTTAGGAGCATCCGGGCAATCCGAGACGGAAAAGAGTGGATCGTCGCAATTGCCGTATCCGACAACTTTTCAAGGGATGCCTGTACCATACGGAGCTGGTCCCACGACACCGTACCCTGCATATATTCCACCTCCTATGCCTGCTACTTATAATCCGTACGCGACGATGCCTTATCCCGCACAAGGTCAGTTTACGAAAAAGATAGAAAATCATCGTTTACAATGTGGAACGTATATTGAACCTGTGATGTAAGGACGCGTTATGTTTTTAGGAAATTACAATCCGTACCAGGTAATGCCGCCAAACTCTTTCGGTGGATTTGCTACTTTGCCACGTTACGGAAGTCAGCATCCTCATCAGGGACACCAGTATTGAAAGGAGGAGGATACTTTGCACGTATCGCTTAACGTAGCCATGTGAAACTTGTAAGAATAAGGGTAAGCTTATACCTATTTAATAGCATAAGTAATACGATCTGTCGAACACCGAACAGTAAAAGAGGAACATGTTGAATATGAATTTTGATGAAATGATATATTCCTTGATTGTTATACTTCACGTAGTTGAATTTTTATATAGAACGCGTCGATCAGTGATGTATTCTAAGCTTTAAGTGATGCTTCAGGCGAAAATATTTGAAACCAACGATGCTCGTGCAATTTATAAATATATTTTTTAACATAATATATAACAAGTGACTATAATGCCTACGAATCGCAATTATTTTGTTGCTGTGAGGACATTTTTACTTTTTTTCACATTTGCAAACATGCAATCTTATTTATATCGTCAGTACTTTGTTGCACAATATTATACGCTTTTCTTTCGCTACAAATTGATCTACGAATTACGTTAAATTCAAAGCAAACATCTTCTGGAATTTAATTATGCTTTCAATTATAAACATGACGTTCAATCTGTTTTCTTATATTTTCTGTAAGATCACCATCAATTTTTATACAAAGTAATAAAGTATACTACAGCTTGAAAGAACATCCTCTCAACACAAAATAATTTTGTTCCATGACTTCCTTATAGAGGAGGTAGGAATAGGGAGTAAAAACAATTTATAGATTCATTCTGTTTATTGTTTGAGTAGATAGCTAGAAAGAAAGTTAGACATTGAGAAAGAGTCGCATGAATAATTAATATTCTTCTTCTTCTTCGGTATTAGCAGCATCCTCTTGAACCTCGCGATAATCTAATTCCAAAGCTGCTAGATCCTCTCTTGCCTCCGCGAATTCACCTTCTTCCATACCCTCGCCGACAAACCTACGATTACGAAAATAACAATTTCCCTTCTGTAATGTATGAAGCGAAGCATCATTAACGAGATAACTTGATTTACCAATGAACAAATGCCCTCTTGGCGTACATAAGGTCGAATTTGTGGTCTATTCTAGCCCAGGCGTCAACTATTGCCGTGGTATTGCAAAGGCAGCACACCGCTCTTTCCACTTTCGCCAGATCACCACCTGGCACGACGGTAGGTGGTTGGTAATTTATTCCTACCTACACGAACGAACAATCAAATTTTGCCATGTCACCGCGATTGATATTCCGCGTACCTTGAAACCCGTCGGACACCACTCTACAAATTGAATGTGCTTCTGTCCTTTGATCGTAGCGATCGCGGCATTCACATCCTTCGGAACCACGTCTCCTCTATAAAGCATACACACTGCCATGTATTTGCCTCTGCGCGGATCGCAATTAACCATTTGACATTGCGGCTCGAAACACGAGTTCGTTATTTCAGACACCGTAATCCTCTCATGACCAGCTTTCGCAGCTGATATCACGGGAGCGTAAGTTGCCTGCAAGACGTTCATTTCTCATTTGTCCGTCGCGATCGTTAAACGTTTTTTATTAACTTACAAGGGGGAAATGAATGCGCGGGTAGGGTACCAAGTTCGTTTGAAATTCGGCAAGATCGACGTTCAGGGCTCCGTCGAATCGTAAACTCGCGGTGATGGACGAGACGATCTGACCGATCAAACGGTTCAAGTTCGTGTAAGTTGGTCTGTCGATGCTTAAATTTTTCCTACACAATTCGTAAATAGCCTGTAAAAAGAACGATCATTAACGCCAGTGTCAGAGTCGCGTACATCGCGTAATACATACTTGATTATCAACTATGAAGGCCACGTCGCAGTGTTCCAACGTTGGATGCGTATAAAGAATCGCGTTATACGGCTCTACGACGGCGGTCGATACCTGTTAAATAATAAATCATGTACCGCGCGCGCTCGTCAGCAATCCGCTCGTAGCAAATACTTTTACCTGAGGTGCTGGATAAATGCTGAACGTCAATTTACTTTTCTTAGGGTAATCGACGGACAATCTCTCCATGAGGAGACTCGAGAATCCTGATCCTGTCCCACCGCCGAACGAATGAAAAATTAGGAAACCCTGTAAACCCCTGCATTGTTCTGTAAGTCTACGAATTCGATCCAGCGTCACATCCACGACTTCTTTTCCTATAATTGAAAATGAAATGATACGTCTTGTGAAGGCAGACGTACCCGAAGAGACACGCGTTTACCTATTGTATAGTGGCCTCGCGCGTAATTATTCGCTGCGTCCTCTTTCCCCGTGATTAACTGTTCCGGATGGAACAGCTGCCTATACACACCCGTGCGAACTTCGTCTGAAATGTCGCGTCAATTCTTAAGATCCGTGTCAGTCAGAGATTTCACTTGTTTAACGCAAAGTACGAATGAAACTCTCGAGTAAAAATTTACCTACTACCGTTGGCTCGAGATCCACGAACACGGCCCTCGGTACATGCTTTCCCGAGTCCGTTTCAGAGAAGAAGGTATTGAAGGAATCCTCCCCGTAGCCCTTGGTAGTGTCGCTAGGCATTTGCCCGTTCGGTTGAATCCCATGCTCCAAGCAATAAAGCTCCCAACAAGCGTTGCCCATTTGGACGCCTGCTTGTCCAATGTGAATTGATATGCATTCCCGCTTTAACGTGATAAACCATTTTCAAATGTCTTTCTCAAACGAACTTTTGTAGAATTGTACCTTCTTCGCCATCGTTTTTAAATCCGCAGGATTACTTTAAATCGTTGCGAACCGCGGATCGCGAAGGAAAACCGATTTAGATTTATCGCGTAATTGTTAATCGTGTACATATTCTTCCATGTTACATATTCGTTTTCTCCGCATCCATCAATTTCAAACTGCGCGATTTGTGCAGAGTTTAAAAGAAAGTAGAACACTCATAACATTGTTAGGAGGAAGAAATTGCAGAGAATGAAACTGTAAGCCTTACTGTCCGATCGAATCGTCGCCAAAAGAATGAATTGGAACGAATGCTTAAACTAGCTCAGCTAAAGCACTCGACATGGTACGATTGCTAACTGACATGTCGAAAATCCATCAACGCAAAGCGATCTTATGCCTGTCAGCAAATCGCCAAGTATGTTCACCTTGACCTCTCGCGTTTAATAATTCAGCCGAGGGTCAAGAATGAGACACGCCTAGCATCGGGCATAAATTGTGCAGACAGTTTTAAAGTCGTGCACGAAGGACGTACAAAAGTCATAGACTCTTTCCGTTTAGTGCTTTGCATTCTTTAGCTTCAGATGCATCAAAATCGATTTTCCCGGGTTGACATACTGTGTAACCATAGTAGCTTGATCGAATATCGTGCACGATGCGTATTTCTGATTTATCCAGGAGTTGATCGCGTCATATTATTATAATATTATCTAGCTAATTATAATTAGCTACAGTCGAACTGATCGTATAAAAGGAAATTACGCGAGAAACTTGAATGATTGCATTTAAAATCCTTTAAATTTAAATTTCGCTTGTTGGATTCTTGGCTGAGAACAAGAGAAACTTAAAATCAGCCTTTGGATACCGTAAAATATTCATACTCAGTTGTCCAAGTATCGCTCTTTCTTCGTAGCTTCGACGGTTTCCTAATCGGTCGATTCGGTTTGAAAGAGGTATCATAATTACACGTTTAAACTGGCTATACACAATCTTTTGAATTGCACAAGTTTATATTGCAATTTATCAACTATCATTCAAGGCACGAGTCATATACTAAACAAAATAATTTCAATTATAAACGGAAATACGTAAATATAATTATTAATCGTAATTTATAATTTATATTACTCCGAGCATGTAAGTAATAAAATGTATTATTATTAATAAAATACTCACCATCGTGGATTATGTTAATGGTAAAAAAACGTGTCAGGGCGTACCACGATTCAACTACTACTGTCTGACCGAACAAACAGTCAGATCACTGTGACACGCTATATCATTACTCCTGGGTATATAATATCTGTTCCAAGTCTCACAGGTGTCAAAGCTATCGTTATAGCACTAGCGGCAATCGAAAAATCTGCGTAAATCGAAGTTTTATGATGTTCTCGATTAAATCGTAAATTCTGTAAATAATTAACATACGAGAAGGTATATATACAATTTAATTATTTATTGAGAGTATGCAAAATACACAATAATAAAATATACAATAAAGTCTTTAAGGCTTCTTGGGCCCAGAAATTGTAATTAATTGTACTCTCCTTGGAGTTCTGTTAGGAATTATCGGAGACGCTACTGCCTTTGGAGACGTACTCTTTGCATTTTCTTTAACAACATCGGTAGTACTTTCCTCATAAATTAGTTTAATATCTTCAGTCTCCTCACTTTCCATTTTATTAGATTCTCTTTCATTCTCACTAGAGTTTAACAATTTATTTTCCTTACTACTTGATCGTTCATTTTGAGTTGATACCTTTTGTGAACTCGTGGAGAGAACTTTTTCTACCACATCGATATCCATAGCGTTACAGTCCGTAGGAGATGATACCAGTTTTTCATGTACATTCTTAGCGTCCGAATTCGACGTCGGAGGCGATTTATTATTAACTACAATACCAGACTTTGTTGGTGTACCGTCTGGCATTTTATAATACTCCTCGCCTAATTCACCTTCTTGAAACTGTATCACAGAGCAATAACCATCCGTCGAGGATGCAACTAAAATTCTACCGTTACTCGACCTGTAGAGCGAGAGATCAAAAGATCATTGAGGAAAAGTACAGAGAAACAATCATTGCTTACCACGCAACGTCGGTTAATCTGGTGTAATGAATATTCGATATAACAGCAATCGGTGAAATTTGTTGAGTATCGTAAACCATTACCGAGTGCTGCGTTGCGATAGCAAACACCATTCTATAAGGCAGTGATATTACAGGTGTTGGGCCATTTTCCTGCAATTTAAAATAGATTGGACAGCATCGAACTGCGATAGTCGGTTCATCCAGAGAAGGCAGGAGCATAAGAGGTCTGAAAACAGAATTACAAGTATCGTCCCTGCAACGAGATCGTCATTTATGAATACAAAGAGACATACTCCTTCAAACTATGTCTTGAGAATACTAAGGTTGCATTAGATATCTTTTCCGTGGTTTCTAAAGGCTCGATTATACCAGAAGGCACGATAATTAATGATCCATCTACAGAAAATGTTAATCTCCTAAAGAACGACTTGAAAGTGTCGTCGTAGAACAAGCGCACTCTTTTATTTTTTATGTGATGATCTGCGGGTGTCGGGATTTTAGCCTTGTAAACCCGTTGTACCGTCTTCTTGGTGTTCACATCAATTAAACGACACGTTCTACGGCACGGATATCATTAATACATTGTAAATCTCAACAGTCTGTTCAATTACCTGTCTGTACTTATTGTACATATGTATTGATTACAAGGATCCCATGAAACTCCTTGTACAAAACCCTTGTGATCAGATAATATAGTTACTGAACGTCCCTTATGAATGTCCCATAAAATAGCTGTGTTGTCCACAGAGCCAGAAACTAGCATATCAGAGTTCTGGGACCAGCTAATATCATAAACGTCTTCGAGATGTCCCCTTAACACTTTCCAAGAGGTCCATTGTTCTTTGTCTTTGGTCTCCTCACAACCAATAAAGAATTCGCATTCTTCCTTTTGCTTCCACAAAATAATGGTCGATTCTGAAAGACATCGCGATCTTAATAGATCTTTGCGCATTAATTAACTTTAACGAGCTTTTAACTAACCATCGTCCCCTGAAGCCAACACGTCCTTCGAGGGCGAAAATCGTACCACGTTCACCGCTTTCTGGTGTCGATCCAAATCCGTTACACATTTTACAGTCGCACCATCGCCTTCGTTCGTCGTTAAATGCCATATCTAGAATCAAATGCGAGCATTCGGACATTCAATCGTACATTTAAACAAATGCTCGAGGAATAATTACCAACACATGTGAGTCGGCACCACCGGTTGCTAGCCGCCAGAAAATTTCACCTTTCGACGTCTTGTAAATTCCGGACTGTATGTCAATACTTAATACTGGGTCACGATTGTGCCATGAGATTTCTGGCGTGGTGCACCACATAATTTAAATAGAATCAACGTAAGGGAATGTGTAATAATAATTTATATAATAAATATGACAGCATTTAATCCGCTCCACAAGCTGTCACGATACGATCGCACACGATCGTTCCCGCTAAAACTGTATATCGACCAATCGACCTGAGAATTTTGCTTCGCTTTCATGGACGACTAGGGACATTGGTCTAGTGTAAAATTTATTTTAGAAAACCGATCCGTATTGTTGGTATCACCGTGAGCTGTCCATTTTGTTGATTTTCATAATCGGTCATATTCAGTTTCTTGTTGGGTTTATTGAAATTTCTGCGTGAAAAGTATAACTAAGTGATCTTGTCTCTAAGGAAGGCGCACATAAAGTATTAGATTCGGCCCTGATGCTGTCTAATATTTATTTATAGTAATAGATCGTCAAGAATGGGTCTAATATCCGAGCCATTGTTGTTCGTATTAGCTTTAATCGATACCGGTTCATTGCTTTTTATACTGGTGTATTTCGTATCCTTTTTATGTTTCATAACGAGAATACGTCACATTCATTCGCCGTTGTCCACGGTATCTCCTTATTCGATTCGATCAAGTGAATCTTAGGCTTTTTTGGTAGAATAACAAGGCTAGGAATTTTCGTGCTACGTGTTCTCTTTACGGTGTTCCAGCACCTGTGCTGGCGCTTCGTTTAAAAAGTTTTCAAAACGAAACTCGCATAATTACGTTCCTTATCTCAGATTTTAATAGATAATAGCTCTGTCAGACCTGGAATGCGACTATTTAAATGCTCAACAGTGTTGTTCGAAACTGAACACGGTAATTATATCGTTTTCATAACGAAGCATTGATGAGATAATAAACGAGAATGTTTTACAGTGGGTAGTGCCGAAAATTATAGTACATTCGTTCCTAGAGGTACTACTATTGCTACATGGGCAATTAATACTGTATTTAGTAAATTTGCCTATGACCCTGTGGTTGCTCTATGAATACTTCGGGGTACCTAGTGGTAACATGGGAGTTTATGACCCTACAGAGATCCACAATCGTGGACAATTGAAAAGGCATACAAGAGATTGTATGATCTGCATTGGATACTACTTAATTTTCTTTTTTATATACATTTATTGGTACGTGTATTTTTGGCAATTGTTTCGTCGTTATCAAGTCCATAGATTTAATGTTCTAAACTTGAATGTTTCAGTATGATTATGGCGTTACTGAAAGGTGATCCGATCAATAGAGATGAGGATGGAATAATTCAAACGCTTTAGTAGTAAAGATGATATTTAAACTTTTGTACATCACTATCTTTTACGTTGATCGCGTTTGATCAATTATTTTGTTATGTTATGCAAATGCCAAATGGAATTTTGTTAAGATACGTGAAAACTACACTTCTCCGTTGCGATTGTCTCTAACTTGTGTATCACACATTTAAGAACTGATATTTCTTAAATATAAGACTTCCATAACATCATAGTGATTTAATTGTAATTGCAGTAAAGACTAGAAGCGAGCCAATATCACCAGAATTCAGATCGTTTCGTTTGATTTTAAAAATACAGTTTTGGAGGATGTTGGTTAAACTTCGTTCTTTACTGTACACATAAGTATGTAAGAACAGAAACGGTTTATCTGTGGAGTCATTAGCCAATATACAAAATAGATGTACCGTAATTAAAAATGGATTAGACTTGCTTAGTATCGTGATCTTACTATAAGTTTTTGAAAATTGCTTTTTAATTCAGCTATTGTGACGTCATTAAAATAAAATATGCAGTGGCTCGTTAAATCGAATTCAGTTCAAGTTTGTTGCCCACACCGTAAGATTAGATCGATTTTAATGAACTCGTTGCAGCCGATTAGTTTTTTCCGCGGGGAGGGCATTTATTTTTAGGTAATACCAAAATTAGTATCGTAGTTTGTCTAAATGTTGTAATCGCGTTTCCGCGTGGCGTTCCGACGCGCGATAATCTCCGGTACGATGAAGGAAAAATAAAAGTATTTGCGATCGGACAAAAATAGCGTTGTAACAGCCACAAGTAGCGGATTTATTGAATATCACGGTTCGCGTTAAAATCAATTTTAGCGCGATGATAGGCGCACGTGTGGTGCGTTCTTGTGATCCGGTGGCTCGTGAAAAAGACTGAGCGCCTCCTAGCGACGAGGGTAAACGGGTGACGGGTGACGGGTGGCGGTGCTCGGATTTGCACGGATTGTCCTCGGTACGGCGCGCGGAAGGATGCTTTCCTGGACCAAGTGAGTGCGCGAGTGCTCACGAGTTACGAAAAGATTCGCGGTGCACATATCAATCGCGAGATCCTTAGTCACCGCGAGACGTAAACGTGCCGAACTGCTCTTATATTTCGCGTTCATCGCGATGCTTGACAGTGGTTACTGGCGATCCCGTGATTTGTTTTTTTCTCCCACTCTCTCTTTCTCTCTCTCTATCTCCGTTTCGGACGATACGTTGAACGTTTAACCGGGAGAACGAACGTCGATGTTCACCGTAAACACTGTGCATCCGCTGTCGTTACACCCAAGACGGTATCCGTCACGGTATCGCGACGACGGCGACGACGACGACGTCGTCGTCGATGCACGGCCGCGTCTTTCATCGCGGATGATCCAGCTACCGTACCTGTCAAGGTAAAGTGGTACACGAGGTGCGTTTAACGTCGAAAAGATCGGCTCGATGAGGCTGAACACGTCGACGTCACCGTCGCCGCCGTCACCGTGGTCGTTGCTGGTGTCATTGCCGCTGTCGTCGACGCCGTCACCGTCGTCATCATCATCATCATCATCATCGTTCCATTACCGCTGTCATCGACGTTGTTTTCGTTACAGCCGTCTGCATCATTCTCATTGTGGTTATCAACGTGTTTGTGCTTCTTATTGTTGCCCAAGGCATAATCAGTCTGCATCGCTTGCCCCTTCGCTAGTGCATCTGTGCTAGGAAGTAACACGTTCTTCTCTCTGCACCGCAAACTACTCGCGGTATCGTTTAGACAGGATGGCAGGTAGCAAGACATCCGGTAGTCCCCTGCAGTTCAGACCCATAGAGGTGACCCAACAGCTACAGGACGGAGAAAAGTTCATAAAATGGGATGAGGTACTCGACCGATTACGCTTGAACAGCACAATTAGAAAGTTCGATAGCACGAGTAATCGTTGGTATCAGAGTACGTGTAATCAGTCGTATTTATATTTTCACATAGGACTCTGGTATAGCGACTCCAGTGACACTGAGAGTAGACAAGTTTGGATTTTATCTGCATTGGGTGGATCAGAATAATGAGATGGAAATGTTGGATATTGTTACGATAAGAGATGCTAGAACTGGGAAATGTGCTAAAGTACCAAAGGTATTATCATACCCCTTTTCTTAGCTATGTTTACGCGGAGTAGCATAAACTAGCTTATGGTCTATCTGATCAAAGCGAACAACCGACGTTAGATCTATAGCTAAATGAACAGCTAGGTCTACGTTTGCATTGGATATAAATATTTAGAAATGTCTTCCCTTCCATATAATTATATCATGCTTTTGCGTTGATGCTAATGACGCAGAATACCATCCACATGATAATTATTGACAAATCTATAAATAGAATATTACCTACCTTATATCCTCGATGTAGTTCATTTTTTCCAGTCACGCCTATCTTTGTATACAATGGAAATATTCTTGGTTACATAGCAAGGAGAGCAAGTCCTCTCTTCGTATTTCCTATAAATCAATAAGCAGTTCGCAGAGCTGTATTGTTTGTAGTTTCACTTTGTATTAGTAGCTTATTATAATGCAAGCTATTGTTGTCACTATAATGTACACAAGTTGACGCCGTACGCGTAAATCTGATAGCATTGATGTAGTATAAAACTTTGACGTTTGCTCGAACGAGGGAATCGTTTTCAGGATCCAAAATTAAAAGATCGTGTGACAATGGGTTCTCAAGATTCCTTAGAGGACAAGACAGTGACAATTTGCTATGGATCCGATTTCGTTAACGTCAACTTTATTAACTTTTGTACAATGCGCTCAGAAGTTGCACAACATTGGACACAACAGATTTTTCAGCTTGCGTACAATTTGACTCTACTCAATATCAGCACAACCATGTTTCTTCAGAAGGCGCATACCAAGCTTACACTTACAGCTGATAAATCAGAAAAGATTCCCGTAAAGAAGTGAGCGAAATTTGTGCATGTATTGTGTGTTAAACTAAGTAGGCATATGTATAACGCATATATTCTGATTTCAGTATAATAAGAATGTTTACGCAGAATAAAGAGGATCGTAAACGTGTTGAGAAAGCGCTCGATATTTCTGGTTTCCCATCGGGAAAAGTGAGTGCGATACTTCAAATTTAATGCATCCGTCGGTCCTTCGAGACCGTTCACTGTTCTGTTCTCTTCTTCTAGAACGACGTGATATCGTTACAAAAATTTCAATTCGAAGATTTCTTCAACTTTTACAAGTCCCTCACTCAACGATCGGACGTCGAGAAAGTATTCGAGAGCATCGTAGGCAATAATAAACGTAAATTAATGTCCGTCGCTCAGTTTGTCGATTTCCTGAATAAAACTCAAAGGGATCCGCGCTTAAACGAGATATTGTACCCTTATGCAAATGAGGCGAGAGCAAAAGACATTATAAGTCAATACGAACCAAATAAATCGAATGCAAATCGAGGTCAACTCAGTTTCGATGGATTTTTGAGATACCTGATGAGCGAGGATAATCCAATCATTGCATTAACGAAACTCGAATTATCGGACGATATGGAACAGCCGCTTGCGCATTACTTTATAAATTCTAGTCACAATACATACTTGACAGGTACATGATTTCATCGAAATTTTCTCGCCAATAAATCGCGAGTTCTCTTTTCATGTATGTCAATGAATTCCTTTAGGGCATCAACTTACTGGAAAAAGTTCGGTCGAAATATATCGTCAGTGTCTGCTTGCCGGTTGTCGATGCGTGGAGTTGGACTTTTGGAACGGAAAATTCGATGAGCCTGTCATTGTCCATGGGTACTTACCGTTTTACAATTAAATAATTGATCGAACAAATAATTTACAGTCACGCATCATGTTAAAAATGTTTCTTCAGATACACATTCGTACCTGAAATCTGTGCGCGGGATGTAATTGAAGCAATCGCTGAAAGTGCTTTCAAAACGTCGGAATATCCTGTTATTCTTAGCTTCGAAAATCATTGCAATCCTAGACAGCAAGCAAAGATAGCTCAGTATTGTAGAGATCTCTTTGGAGAGATGCTACTCGACGCGCCTCTCGAATCTCACAAGGTACTATTTTGTTTCAATTTACTTGCAATTAAGAATGTTGTTTCACTCAGAGTGTCGTGGTTTTAAACCATTTACCGTTCAGTTGGAACCAGGTCAGGAGTTACCCCCTCCGTGTTTATTAAAACGTAAAATCATAATCAAAAACAAGAAGAAGCATCATCATCATCATAAAAAGCATAAAAAGAAGCAACAGCCTGGTATAGGAACTGAGGAAGGAGTTCCGGAGACAGACGATAATGGGGCGAGTCAAGTCGCGGACGGCGAAAATGGCCCGCCGCCGGATGTCGTTCCCGAGGTTGACGGAACCGGTAACGATCGACAAATGGGAAACGGAGACGTCCCTCACCACCCGATGTTACAACATAGGCAGGGCAGTAAAGACAGTGCTCAAGGCGACGATGGTTTGAATCCAAAGAATCACATATAAAATACGATTGTAGGTGTGTAGCGAAAAACGGAAGGCGATTTGTTGTTTCAGACGAAGACGAGGAATCGAGCACCGACGAGGACGAGTCGAACGTGGAAGACATCAAGTTGAGGATGGACGATAAAGTGCCTGCAGGAGACAAAGCGTCTAGCGCGAAAGAAACGGAAGCCGGAGCGGAAATTTCAGCCCTAGTTAATTACGTGCAACCTGTTCATTTCAACAGCTTCGAATCGGCCGAAAGTACGTTTACGGGCTGAATCCGCTTTTACGTGCTATTTGCTATGAATCCTTCTCACTTTGCGTGCATGATTCTAGAAAAGAATCGCACGTACGAAATGTCGTCGTTCGATGAGAAGCAAGCTACGACGTTGTTGAAGGAAAGGCCGTTGGAATTTGTAAATTACAACAAGCATCAATTGTCGCGAGTCTATCCGGCAGGCACGCGTTTCGACTCGAGCAATTTCATGCCTCAAGTGTTTTGGAACGCGGGTTGCCAGTTGGTCGCGTTGAACTATCAAACGCTCGGTACGTTAATATTTTAAATTCGCCCCAAGTGTCGATCCCGAATTAGCGACTCATTTATTTTAATCGCGTTAGATCTGGCGATGCAGTTGAATTTGGGAACATTTGAGTACAATCAACGTTGCGGTTATCTCCTCAAGCCGGAATTCATGAGGCGAAAGGATCGGCGATTGGATCCTTTCGCGGAATCAACTGTGGACGGTATCATAGCGGGAACGGTTCACATTCACGTGATATCAGCTCAGTTTTTAACGGACAAGAGAGTAGGCACTTATGTCGAGGTAGACATGTACGGATTACCAGCTGACACCGTGCGGAAGAAATTCCGGACGAAAATCGTGCCGAACAATGGAATCAACCCTGTATACGATGAAGAACCTTTTGTCTTTAAGAAGGTGAGGATCTTTCTGCAACTATTTATACAAGAGCTTACTTATCGTGTTCGTTAGGTCGTTTTGCCTGAACTCGCTGCGATTAGAATTGCCGCGTACGAGGAATCAGGTCGTTTAATTGGACATAGAGTGTTACCAGTAGTCGGATTATGCCCGGGCTACCGGCACGTTGCGCTCAGAACGGAATGCGGCCAACCATTACCGCTGGCAAGTTTATTTTTGCACGTTATCGTAAAAGATTACGTACCGGACGGCCTGAGTGAGCTGGCCGAAGCTCTGGCGAATCCAATCAAGTATCAGAGCGAAGCAGAGAAAAGGGAACAACAGTTGTCGGTTCTCACGGATCCTCTGGAATTGGACGATCTGGCGGAAGAAGTCGATGTAAGGTTTGAACCTTCAGGAATTTCGTTATCCACTAATCTTCACTAACGTATATCTGCTAACATCTTTTTTAGGAAATTAAAGATACTAAGCCGAAAATTGGCGAAGGCTCTTTCAAGCCAGCTGTAAGTTCAGCGGGCCAAACACATACATTCAGTCGGGCGATCATTCTTACTTCATGCCTGTTTCAACATTCTGTTTTAGGAGGAGACTGCGAAAAGACTACAATCCATGGGCGAGTTACCAATGCTCGCGCCAGCTTCTACGAACGTCCATGGTAGACCATCTATCACCGGTGGTATTACTGCACAAGACACACAAGATAACGAGGACGGAACGCCAGCCCCCCCAGTTCAACAAGTTGTCGAAGCTTCCACAAATAAAAGTCCAGTTAATGTCAGCGGTAGTAAGTATCGATTATCTGCCGCGTCGTATTTGGATAGCATCGTTCAATTGTTCGTGTTGTAGTGAGCGAAGAAATAGTAGCCGAGTCGTTGGAGAAATTGATGGAGAACAAGCTTGTCCGGGAAAAGAAAGTTGAACTCGAGAAGAAGCTCGAATCTTTGCGGAAGAAGCACGAAAAGGAGAAATCAAGGATGCAGTCGCAGAAAGGATCCCTCGACGGGGAGAAACACAAATCAAAGTTCTACGTTAGCCATAAATTAGTGAAACGGCTGTCGAGTAGAAATATGTAAGTTTCACTTATATCGTCGTTTTCGTACGTAAAGCTGTAGTATTTTTTTTTATGCAGCTTCTCAAGCGAAGTGGGATTGAGCACGTTAGCCCTGGCGGAGTCGTCGGAATGTGCGGACATAGAGAATCGCGAAGGGAACGGCGGTACTCCGAGAGGATTGCCTAGAAGCCAGAGCGAACGTTTACTGGCTGTGTGCAAAGCTCACGTCCAACAAGAACGCGAACTTCAAGAAAAATATTACGACAGCTTATTCGTGACCGTCGAGAAAGTAATGAAATCCTCACAGTCCAATCAACTGAAAACGCTGCGGGTGCTCCTGGAGCGCGAAACCGCTGACGTCATGAGGAAGCTTCAAGCTACGAGGCACGGGGAGGTGAAACAGCTGGCAAAAGTGCACAAGGACAAGGCAGAGTTAGATCGAATGAAGAGGGAGGTCGCGAAATCAACAGTCGAGAAAGGTGTGAACGAGTGCACGCGATTAACGAAGATTTATGAGAAAAAGAGGGCGGAGCTCGAACGGCAACACGAAGAAGTCCGGCAAAGGCTAGAAGCAGAAAGGGCAAAGGTACGAATGTATCATTGTATCGTACATTCGTTTTAGGTTCGTGATCATTAGAGGCTGTTGATCGTGTTTCAGGTGAAAGCGTCCCTGATGGCCGAGTATAACAGCCGATGCAGTAAATTCGAAAGCGGGGAGCTGCCTTTGTCGCCTTCCGGTGGGACTAGCATGCCGGAGTCGCTCAGTGGCAATACATATTGACTGAAATGATCGATAGTTTAATTGATCGATGTCTTGCGACGACGTGGTTTGGAGTATTCACAAACCCGACGCAGTAAACTGTTTTTGCCGAGTGTGTAGTCTGTTTGAGAGAGAAGATGAGAGAGTACATAACGGCGCGTTGGTTCTGCAATAAGCAACGGGAGCCCGCCGCTGACGGTGTAACGATAGGTAGGAAATTCATGAAATCTACGCAGTTACCTGTGTTTTGCTATCAAATAATTTTATCCACTTCCAAAAAAGAAATGTCTCTTTTGCAAAGCGCGCAGCATTTACGAGGCGATATTTGATTTCGGGGGTACGTCACAAGATCGAGGGTGAACCCCGTATAGATTCTCTTACCCGCATTTGTCGAACTTCATTTTAAAATAATTTAACTACCCGACAAAGCAATCGTTTAACTCATTATCGTAGAGATGCGCATTCGAATACGTTAGGTGAATTTAATTAGGAGAGTAATTTATGTCGTTTTCCATGTACTCACCAGTCATAATTCAAATCGTTATCGCGATTGATCGATCGCGATTGATCGATTGCGATTGTTCAACTGGTCGTATGCGCATGCGCCATTTTGATCTCAGCAACGGAGGGTGTCTCAAAGTGTTGGGAAGCGAGCTTCGTTTTCTTTCTTACTGTTTTCCTAATTCGATATTACGCACAGTATTAAACGCACTAATTGTCATTACACTCGAGACCATCGCCGCCAGTGTCAATAATTTATTCAGTTTTGCAACGCGAAAGAATCTCCGAGGAGGCGGAAAAGAGTACGACGCTACGTGACGAGGTACATATGAAGTACACGATTCTAAATAAGAATAATGTTTCCAAGTGCTACTATTTAATCTTGTTATTATATGTATAAGATGTTATTTAATTAGCAAAGTCGATGATAAATCGCGTTCCAAGACACTCGGGTCGTTTGTTAAATAAACGGTGGGGGAAGGGGGGATTTCGCGATTGATCGCTGGGCATCGGTCGGACTTTGGGGTTAAAAAATGTAACTCGATTCGCGGCGATGAGGGTGGGGACGGGGGTGTTGAAATATCTTTGGCCTAGAGGTAAGGGAATTACGATTTCGGACGGGCGTGTGCATGATTTCATATATTTTTGACTGAAAGTACTCCGCATAAAGACATTTTTTGAGTAATCGTGTCGCGAATGCTAAAGAGACCGTACTGTGACGAACAACGTGAGCTCAGTACATCTAAAAACAGAAAAAATCGATTAAGAAAAAAATGAAATATTAACGGGAACGTTTCTAAATAGCGTTTTTGTACCGCGTTGCGGCCACTTTGAGGCCCGAGCAAAACGATTTGGGGTGAGCCTCTTTTAGGAAGACAATCAAAAATGTTACGCCAACGTAACATTGTCCTTGTTGTTTCTAATCGTACGATATTTTAAGTAACTCGATATTACACATACATATTATATATATATATCTTAATATATATATTCTTAATAGTTACTAAATGAAAGGTAGGGTAATACGCGACGTACTTGCGCATCGTAAATCTCGTGTGATTCGCCCCATTAATATATTTCCAAGTGAACGATCGGCGAGACACGAGCCTTTGCATTCGTGTTCTCCACCGATGGTTCGTGCTCATCACTATTTTAAAACCACTACTATTACTATATGCAACATGTGTATATATACATGCACGCACACGAACATACGTACATTATATACATGCATACGCACGTGCGCAAGTAGAGCGTGATCAATCGTCAATGAGGAAAAAAAAAGAAGAAAAATTAAGGAATACTTTTGTTATTTTATAAATATTGTCGTCGATTGCTAGGGGCTACGAATGGTTCAATTCCCTTCGACCTGGAGGACGAACTCGATCTTGAATCGTTCATATAAATTATTCGTCTGTTTGTCGACAGGTTTTCCTTTTGCCACCGTCGTTTATTTAAACGGGGCGCTTTCTAAATGTAATACGTACAAGGTTCCGCGCGTATCTCGCGAGAATCGCAACTATACGCGCACATTATCGGTTGGTTTCAATTCGAACGTTCCTTTCGTTGAAATTAATATAATGAGAGTGTTATTCTGTTCCAAAGTTCGTGAGAGAGAGAGAGAGAGAGAGAGAGACGAATCGCAATAACAATTTCTGTGAGACTTCCTTTAGTTGTATCTGTGGTTTGGATGATTTTACAATGAGCCAATGTAACCGACGATGTATGGGTCGAACATTTGTTTTTGAGTGATTCACGGAGAGGTATCGACGATTGCGAGGAATCGCGAGATTCCGTGAGGATGAATCTCCTGCAGTGTTACAAAAAAAAAAAAAAAAACACCGGCTGTAGAGCTCGCACGCTGCGTTTTAATTACGATAGAATGGGTATTATGTTGCGAGAGGGATAAGTTTAGGTATAGTTTAAGCTTGAGAGTGTGGCTTTAGGTGTTCATTCGGATGGAACGATCACACACGACGAGTTACCATTTATTCTTTAAGTTGACGCCAATTTATCGTGTGATTGCATTTCTCGGTGAGTTTGTTATCTTCCATGAAAAAGGGGTGAGGGATGGGGGGGGGGGACGTGAGAACGGTATCGCACGTAAATGGGAACGTTTTAAAACATTGGGGCGAGGGGAAACAGTGATAATTTATTAAAAGATGAGATAATACGAGATAAATATGTAAGCGGGTATAATTTAATTAAGGTAGCGGTCGCCAGTGGACTACCTTTAAGCGTTCCGACGCGAGAGAGAAATCAATACAGTAAATTATGTTAAGTCGTACAAGATTATCGGAAGTTTATATATATATATATATATATTATGATATATATATGTGTGTACACATATATGTATATGTAACGTTCGTATACATTGTATGTACGTGTGTCGATGTTTTTCCGATCGTGTGTAGTCGCAACGATGCGCGCCTCTCGCATCGCTGATCTTTGCGGTACCGAGTTCGAGGCGGCTGGAGGGTGAGAAAACAGGGAGGGAGGACGTAGATTTGACGCGGTACGCACAGGCAGGGTGCAGGGGCGCGCGAATTCCTTCAAACGCTTGCATAGTCAGAGAGGCGGAACGTTTTACGAATAATCGGACTGTGAACAGCAGCGAGAGTAAAGAGAGCCGCGAGGACACGTTTCGATTGTTCGTATCTAGTGTTTCGGAGTTTGTCTGATAGACTTGTACAGAGAGAACGAACGTTCGGTGATAATAGCCAGTCCCTTCGTTAGCATACGAGAACAGTGTCGTCACAGATTTTGTTTCTCTTTATCGATTCGGAATCGATGTTGCTGTTTTATTCGAGTCAACCGACTAGCTGTTCTCGTCGGACGCTCAAGTCCTCTGTATAACTCTGTAATAATACTGATTTCCTTGGGACGTGAGTGCCGTCCGTCCTCCGAGAATCTCGAGCCGGGTCGCGACCCGCGATGCATTTCCCACGAATATTTTTTCTCCGCGCGTTATTACCATACAGATATATTATACATAATGCGTGATTCGCTTCGGACGACCGTTGGTCTCGTCTTCTTCCTATATTCTTGTAATATGCGTAACGCGCGGCCGCGGAATAGTCTTCGATAAAAATGAAATCGAGCGTTTGTTACTTGGGAGAGAATCGTGTGCGCGCTCGCATATTACACCTCGTACCTAATTGTATAAGTATAAAATAACTAGGCTAAAAGGACAGATATTATATTCATGTTGATATATTATGTGTTGTTGCTGTTGATGTTGTTAACGGTAGAGTAGCGAAAAGGTGGCAGTAATAGCGTAGTCGTTGTTCATAAATTATTGCGGGATTTTAGTTTTGTGTTATCTGTGCGGAGCGCGGGTCGCCGCGCGGTTCTCGCGCCGCGAGAGACGTTCGCGAACTTTGCCAAAACTCTTTTCTCGTAACTTGCGAACGCTGCTCGAGCCGCGCGGATCGCGCGGCGACCTCGCGTCTTTCGAAAACGAGACGCGACGACAGCTACGGATCGTACGCAGCTGTAAGTCGTAGGGTAATATTTGAAATCGGCCTATCGACGATCGTGACGGTCTGGCGTCGCTCACCGTTCCTTTCGAAATGAATTATCGCGGAACGTCTTCCGGGGATTTCGCACGCGTGTCTACCGAGGGATCGAGCTCCCCGATCACTGGACCGCCGTTTGAGCAAATCCGTATTTTTATAAATGCAATTAAAGGAACGTTCGTTTTATCCTCCGAACATCACTACTTCTGTTCTACTGCGGATGTTTTATATTTCTATCAGTGGATTTTTTTTTAGATCATTTAGAATTCCCGGTCCAGTGATCGGTCATCGTTTCGCGACACGTTTCCATACGTCTGAATGTGGCACGTTGTCTCGCCGCAACGATATCGCGTCCTAACTGATATTCCGAAACTACGGGCACCTCCTCGCGCGTATGGATTTTATCGTGGATTCGTAAAATCTTTACGCGTGCGGAGAGTGCGACGTCGTAAAATTCTTAAAAGATCTCTTGGTGAAACAACGACTCTTGGTACCTGACTCGATTCTCTATTTGGTCGGAACGTGTCGCGAGAAAGGAGCATGTGAGAGCGGGACACGCTTTCTAATTAATTGCCAAGCGCACGAAGCGAGCGAGCCGTACTTTACAGATCGTCAAGTCTGTCAATTCTTCGATGCTTCGAATGCTCTTGGATGTTCAATGTGATTTTTCGATTATTCTATCGAGTTCGTTCTTGTTGCGATCCTTTCTTCTTAATGGTCGTTGAATTCACGCACGATTTCGGCTGCTCAGCCTTCGATCTTGCCAAATATATGTGTGTCATAATTGATTGTTGCCTGTTTTCGAGCGATCTTCCGACGGTCCGTTGCGAGGACACGGAGCAACGCGATCTCCACGGCACGTTTTAAACCGATCGTGTTTATAATCGAGCCTGTTAGTCTCTAGAGACTGATATTTTGTTCTCATTTACCGGTATCCTTTGGAAAGCCATTCGAGCTAAATTTATTGTTCCCTTCGTATCGCGTAAGAAGCAGCGGCAGTATCGATCGCCGCGGAATATTTACGGATGATTAATAACGCTCAATCCGTTTGCTGTGTGGAGCCGCGTACACACGGTAACCGCGTTTTTCCTTCCCGAATTAGAACGACGGCTCGTGCGCAGTTCATTTCCTCTCCCTCCCCTCGTCGGTTGATGAAACTTGTATAAGTAAATAAGTGTCTGTCGGACAGACGAATGTTGTTCGAAGCGGGGTGGTCGATTTCTTTGCTCGAGCGTCACGCAACACACAGAAAATGAAGGGTTTAGGTCGTCCACTCGGCACCTCGGTCATTGTTAATTGACCGTATGAAACTGTGCGTACCTATTAACCGTAATTTACGAGCAGCTTCCACGAGCTAGGGGAGGATTGTTCGGTCGTAGCTTACGCTAGATTTTTACCCGATACATAATTTTAAGCTACTTCATACCGTTGCAACGCGCGCGAATTGATTCCACGTGGCAATTTAATTTTCTACGGAGTGTTACTTGTTTCGCGTTACGCGCGTTACTATCACGCAGCTACCACGAGAAACCGATGCTTGGCCACAATGTTCGCACTTACCTGGAACGAAAATCAAAATCGCGTGACCGATTTTCCAGTAAAAATTCTTTCAACCGTGTAAAAACATCATACAAACTCCTGTTAGAACGGTTCTTGCCTTTTTTTTTTTCGTTTCAATGCATATTCAGTTCGTTTTTCCGTGTTCGAAATCTGTATTTCCCTTTCGACTTGCAATTTCACTCGAGATGTTTATCGGCTCAACGCGTTTCTACGATGAAAGTATTCGGTGTTCAATCGCGAATAGTAAATCTATTAAGGCGCATCGACTCTGACTTACTCGTGCCTTGCCCTCGGCCATCCACGCTTCTCGCTATACGGATGCAATCGCACCGATCGATCAGGCTCAAATTCTATCTTGCCCGTACATACGTGCTTCATTTCTCCTAATAATAATAATAATAATAATAATAATAATAATAATAATAATAATAATAATAATAATAATAATAATAATAATTTCTCGTAATAGGGAAATGGCGCGTGAGAAGATAGAATACCGTCGCCTCGAGTGTTCGTATAGACAGGGCCGGTTCGAGAAACGATCTCTGATCGCGTCGTAGCTAGATCCCATCGAATCTCAACGAGTTAACCCGTGGAACGCGAGCTACGTGTCGATTCGCACGGACGGTGTTCCGTTCGTCGTTGTCTTCGCTTGTTTGATCCGCGGACCGCAGAGTTCCTGCGTTTATAAAGAAAAATCCGATGCAACTCCGATTGAAGTTCGTAAAGAGCGTCGGAAGCGTAATGGACATTGCTACGTCGCACGAACATCCGCGGTCCGCTCGTTTATATTCTACGTATGTGTCGCACGATATCGATGTGTCTAGGTTCTTTGCTAGGGTCTTGCCGCGTACCTTCGAGCCGATCCTCCGTTTCTTCCAAATGCAGTGCTCGCCAGAAATTGTTTAAAGTCATTCCCGCGAATAGAGGAGGTTTGCGACGAGCAGTGTAGTTGTTCTCCGCGTGCCGATCAATCCTGTCGTCGTGGCGATGATCCGTGCAAATCTTCCGTAAACGATAAGAATTTTTTGAGCCATTTTTTATATATACATACTATTCCCGGCTTGCCGTCGAGCCACGGTTGGCCGCCGCGCCGGCCGACCGGCCAACCGACCGACGTGCGTTCCCCGTTGGACCGTTTTCCTATATTTCGGGATATTTTTCGATTTCGACGCATTTACATTGTTTCTCGCTTGAACATAGGGTCCGTGTTTCAAGTGTATACGCGATCCAGCGACGGTCACACGTCCTGGTAACGGGAGAGTGGTGGACAACACGCGAGTCGCTTCCATTTAGGGTTTCGGTACGCTCTCGGTCGGACGATCGTCTTACAAAAGGATACGAGACAGGACCTCTGCGCGGTACGAAGCTCGTCTTCGTATCGCGGAGAGTTCTTGACTTGTGATCTTGAACACGGTGATCGGATTAGGAGAATGCCGTGGTACCGGAACAGTAATCGATGGTTTCCAACCGACTTATAAAAACTTGGGTGTATTTTTTAGAACGAAGCGTTAGTAAAAATTGTTAACTCCCCGTAAGGATGCCGTAAGCACCGTAAAACAAAACAAAAGCAAAAAAATAATGAGAAAACCCACTTATACTCGTACGACGATATACATATGAGTTTTAACGATATTCTATAAATGGCTGTACCGTATTGTAAAATCAAAGATATAGTGTACAATAAAGATTAGTGTTGTAGAAACGATGCAGCTGTTCATTGTTTCTCATCTCCCTCGGGTAGCACGACGTACAATTAATGTAAAAAAAAAAATAATAATAATAATACCAAATGGCATGTTTTATTCGTTCTTAAGCGTACATCTATGAGTTGTTGTTTAATTCCGTTGAAACTGGTTCCCAAGCGATTCTCTCAGCATGCACCAGTAGGCTTCTTTACGTACGCCACAAGAATGTGGTATCTGTCCAAGATACTGTATTCTTGTTGCCCGTTGTCGTTCTTGTTCGGGAACAAGATCTTCCGGCTGGCTACTTCCCGTACGACCACATCCTCGAACTCCTCTTTGAGGTGGTCAGGGATGCGCGAGATGAATGGATTAACCGCGATCATGTGACCTGCAACGATGATCGATCCGCTTTTACATCGCGTAACCTCGTTTCTCGACCTGTCCCCCTATCCCCCCTCTCGCTACTACCGGTCTCTCTTATTTTTTTTTCTCGTCTCTGCTCTAATTTACGTTACGAACAAAATTCGATACTTTTCAGTGTTTGCATGTTCTCGTAAACGAAGCTCTTTTCTCTTCTGCTACAGTGGAGAACCTCGAAGCCTATCCCGTCTAGCATCTTCCTCAGGGCTGCCCGCGAGTCCGAGCACCGGTGGAAGAACGGCACGAACCGGTCCGCGTCCTTAGAAGCAGAGGGTGTCTTCGGTGAGTACCGACTACCTCACTCAATATTCATAGATGACTGTGGATTCTATGCGTTTACGGAAAAATTTGATATGCTCGTGATTGAAATTTGATTTGCAGAATAATAATGATCACTTTTTAAATTGACATGACAATTATTTTGCATAAGAATCCGCAGTCTATTTATAAAAGTATAAATTAAATGCCAACCTGCATGTATGGTTTGTACCGAGGGTCCTCGTGAACCCTCGTGTAAGCATCGAATCCGTCGTTCCAAGCGAGAAACATGACCAGGCCTTTTCCTCCTGGCCGTAGCAATTTGTAAATGTTGTCGAACGCTCTCCTATTTAATCAATTTACATTGAATTGCGCGATAGCGTAACGAAACAAAATGTTAAGCGAGAATAGTACCAAACGTTGTGACACCAGTGGAGACAGTAAAAGGACAACGCGTTATTGTATTGGCCCAACGCGTCGATAGGCAGATCCTGAACCTCGATGTCCAGTTGTAGAAAGGATAATCGCTCCTCGTCGCGGTACCTTTGCTTCGCGTGATCGATCATCGATTTCGATATATCCACTCCTGAAAATGATTTAAAAACCAATGCTTCGTCGTTGAGCTACGTGCTTTGCATCACCTTTGCGTGACAGTTATAAAATGTACGATCGAACAAGACGTTCTCAGAGCGCGAATGGATGAAATAATAGAGGAAGGTCTCTTATGTCAAGCATCGATCATCTATATCGTCTTTTTTCTTATCTTGCCAGATAGACTAGATTTACTGTATGATTCGTTATACACGATTTGTTGAACGATTTACGAGGTTCATAATGATATGCAACGTCGATACGGAACGAGAGGTGATACGAGTGGACGCGTATCTTCCGGTTGCATTGTTTTTGGATTTCTTACCGACTAGCTCAGCCTCCGAGGAGAGTCTGGGTAGAATCAATCTCTTGGTAACGTCTCCCGGCCCGCATCCAACGTCGACGCACTTACCCTTCATCTCGGACAACTCTTTCTCGAACTCTTCGATGACGTCCAGCGCGTCACGATACTGAGTCTTGCTCGCGTTCACGTACTCCTCTACCATGTACATCTCGGCTATCTCTTTGAATCGTCGGCAAATTTAATGGAAAAAAATTCTCTCGGCCTCGCGTAGGTCGATCGCGATGCGCGAAGCTCCGATCCGTGGAGAACGGAGCCACTCGATGGAACGGAAACGAAAAAAGAGAAGCAAGTGGCCACGCGAGTTACGTGATACACTGTCAGATCTCGTACTGGTGACTTGTTTCGACTCCTCCTTTGGTATTTATATTCGGTGACTCCGCGTACGGGCAACTTTCCTCCTCCCGCACTCGGACCTATCGTTTCATTTTTTTCTTCACCTCGCTTCACCACCCGCCGACCCTCTCTTCTCCTTTTTCACTCCTGCCTCCCACCTGTACCTACCTCAATATCCGAATTCTTCGTCAGCCCGCGCCACCTGAACCGACGGTCACGTTCAGAAGTTCAACGAACTCTTCGAATTCTGGAATGCCTCAGGACGCATCCGCTCCGAAGTTCGACAGGCCCCTCGGCCCGAGTCTCCGACTTCCCCGAATCCCTCGCGAACCACGCGATTCTAATCCTCGCGATTCTACCATCGCGGGCTCAGGACGAATTTCTGTAGGCGAGGTCCGGACCCCGAGGTGGTCCCAAGACGAAAGGGGGGTCCTGGCCGGTTTCGTTCGCCCAGTCCGATTTTTACCGAACACTCACGAGCTTCAAGTGGTGCGGTTAGATACCGCGGCATTCGCGTTCGTACCTGGTGTCTCGCAAATATTTACCCGGTCGTCAGGCAAACGTCGCGAAGCCGCCTTCGTTAGAGACGTCGTTAGGAAATTGAACCGGTCATTCGCAACGCAAACATCGTACGCTCGATTAAAAGCCACCCTCGTTATCCCGACGATGAGTCGTATATTCTCGTATCGTCAACTTTATCACGTGTCAATGTGCTTTCGAGGAACACGTTCAATTTTTATAATCGTTAAAATGCATAAATGCGGGGAGCGTTATTTGGGTATTTCACAAAGCTAGTCCCAATCGATGCGAAGGGTGGCTTATCTCTCGTGGCACGTATTTGCATGCGAACCTCAAATAGGATCAGGTCCCTGTCCAAGTTCTTCCTCAAACATTTGATTCTCGCGACCACGGCGAGCTTCCGGCAGATGATTCGGGTATGCGTCGTTCGAATCGTCTCCAGCAGGAAATATTTATGAGAACCGTGGATTGACCCGTTTCCCCTTACCCCCGTCTTTCTCACTCTCTCTCTCTCTCTCTCTCTCTCTCTTTCTATGTAGCACACAAACTAACGCAATATGTGGCCACGTCGCTTTCGGAGCTGACAAAAGCTCGTGACACGTACGTAGCTTCCGAAGTTTATGCAACCTGGGAAGCGACAAGCTAAGTAGTTTTCCAAGTTGTCTTTCGTTCGTGATTTCATTCCGCGTTTTATTCGTCTCGAGTTCTACTTAAGGTAGAATCACATCAGATCCAGGAACGAGACGAGAAAAATGGGAAGGGTGTAGAACGTAGATCATTGAAAGAGAAAGATGGATTTGAAATCTGCAGGGCAATGATAGACAGGAAGCACCTCTGGCTCACGACCTACCGCATCTCTTTTTCCAAACCGTTTTATCCATAACTGTAATATTTCATCTATTTTTCATCATTGCATTCTGTACGAAATAAAATGTTTTAAGGATGTATTGGCTATACATTCAATCCCAAAAGTTTATGCACTTTAGAAACGCATTTTTTAAAAAGAAATCAGACGTCGAAAGAATAATGCTAATAATAAACAACAATAAAAATTTTTCAATTTTTTCGAGATTGCTCAAGGGGTACCCCTTTAAATTCTACGAAATTTTCGTTTTTTGCCAATAATTCCCAAACGGATGGACTTAGAGGGGCGTGTATGGGACCATTTTGTAGAGGACGACGAGATCTACAATCCCTATATAAAAGTTTCTCGCTAGCATCAATAGTTTACGAGTAATTTGCAAAAAACTGTTTTTTCGTTTTTCGTCAATAACTCGTTAAATATTTATGCTAGCGAAATAATTTTATACAGAAGTTGTAGATCTCGTCGTCCTCTACAAAAAGGTCGTATGCAATTTTCCCGTAGGTCCAACGGTTTTGGAGTTATTGAGGAAAAACGAAATTTTTTTCCAAAAGTTCGCCGTTTCGAGGCTGGGATGGTCGGATTTTCTCAAGACCTATAAAATGCCGATTAATCATACTTAACTCGTTAAATATCGAAGTTAGAAGACAAACAACTTGTATTTGAAGCATTTTTCGAAATTTTGAGAAAGTTTTTGTAAAGTACATAAATTTTTGGGATTGACTGTATAGCCAATACATCCTTAAATGGGAGTATCATTTAAACATTTGAGCATTTTTTACAGTGACGAGCGAAAGTGTTACTAAACTTCGCTGGTGTTATAAAAAAGTAGACTTATTTGTAGAGTAAAATCTGTTCATCGTCAAGGATTCTTTATCTTTCCGTGGAGTCAATTATGATAATTAAATCGAAGGCAGGAGAGATCGGTAATCTTTTTTCCACATTCTTCTTTCCTTTTACCTAAATCCTCGGCCAGATTCGCGTGTATCGAATGGAGCGGGAGAGAACGAACGGCTTTGATAAATGACTGACGTGGAAAAAAATCCGCGTCGATACGTCTTGCTCGAGGAGATGCGAGCTTCTGGGGCCGAGGGAGGAAACGCGGTAGAGATAGATAGGAGGAACGGATTTTAAGCCGGAGTATAATCCGGCTCTGCGTTTAATTTCTTGTACTCGGGTCGAAGTTACCGCGAACGGATACCTTTAACCCTTTACACGCCAGTACAGGGGAAATAAAAGTTGAAATAAAACACACGTGTTAATTAGAATTATTTTTATTTCGCATTGCACGTCCTTATCAACGATCGTTACGTTTATACTTTTCGTGTCATGGAAAACTTTCGAAGAAATCAGATGATGTGTGACGAAAGATTTTTGGGTCGGGCCGTTGTCAATCGTTCGGGGATGCGTGCTTTATCGGAAAACATTGAGTGAGATATATGGAAAGATTATGCGGAATAGCGTTTCGGAGTCGAACAGGTCGCCATTCTCCGCTCCGTCAATTATGCTAATTTCGATTGCCGCGAGATTAATGGAAGAAGGCGGCGGCGGCGGCGGCAGCGGTGGCGGCGTACTCTACGTATATATTCTGGTTCTCGACGGTGACCCGACGTCGCTTCCGACCGTGCATAATGCGGGAGACTTGTAATTATCACGGTGAAAATTTACCACGGGCGTTTCACGAAATCGTCGATGGGAATCGTTTACGGTTGGGACGCGTTTAGATTTCCCTCGCCGCACACACGTACGGTGGAAGGAAAGAAGCTAGCTAACGACGTCTGCATCAATAATACATGTTCCCGATACCTTCCGCGTCCGCTCCCTCCCCACGGTCCTATTCGAGGCTCGCATTTGCCTGTGACACGAGTGACCCGGCTTTTTCGACTTCGCCTTTGTTCACGGGTCGAGACATTCCCGACCGAGACCTCCCGATTCATTGTCATCTTCTCGAGAATCTCGAAACGGAACGATAAAGGCGAACAACAGCTTGTATCGTATCACCGTTTCGTATCATCGTGTAAACGTACAAACGTCGCGCAGTTCGAGATAAAAATAGTTATGATTACCGCGGCGTGACGCGAGTGAATGCCAGGTTCGATAAAGAGAACGGATTCTTTGGTGTAAAGGTTCGTGAAAAGGAGAAGGGTCGCGAAGCCCTCCGTATGCGAAAATATTAACGGACCGAACGTGTGCGTTCCATGCATAGTCGCTTCCTCCTCTTCCTCGGTGGAAAGTATGAAAATCCATACAGTCGCTCGGAGAAAATATCCGTCATTTAAAATGGATGGATTTAGGTGGATATAAAAGTGAGGGGTGGAGAAGAAACCGGGTGGCAAGCGCGAAGGGAGGTTTCGCCTCGGCGAGCCTCGGTCACGGGAGGTTGGGGGGTGAGCTCGGAGCCGACTACTGAAAGTCGGTAGCACCCGGCTGGTGGAGGAGACGTAGGCGGCGGCGACGGTGGCGGTGATGGTGGTGGTTGCCGGTGGTGTCGGAGATTTAAGGGAGACATTTTAAATGGATGGTTCTCTTACAGAACCCGGCTGCCTCTGGTATTATCCAATACCCGTGGCTCGCCTCGCGGCCCGAAGAATTCGCGAGCACCCGAACGAAAGAATTATACGGCTTATACATATTGTTCTCGGCGTCGTCGCGTTATCCGCGAATTTTCTCCGGTTTTACCCGGTTGTAACCGGTTTCCTCGGGAAACGCAAACTTCTCGAGAGAAAGTAGTTTGAGAAAAACTGGAGAGGAGCCGGGCGAAACGCGATATCCTCGCAGCATCTCCGACGCGAGCTCGTCGTCCGGTTGGTAACGAGCCGGGCAAATATCGGGAATAAAAATACCTGTGCTTGTCCTCCTCGTCTTTAAACAGCGTCGGGTTTGTATCTCTCGCGAAGATAGTGCTGATACATCTCTTTAAGAAGACTCCGTTTCAGGATCGATAGAGAACGGAATCGCGTTCAACACCTCCGACATCTTTCGGTATACCTATTCTCGAGTTAAAAAATCGTCCGGTGTCGATGACCGCGGCGGTCCCGACCGTCCAGTTGTTCCACGGATTCTTTCTCGGACGGAGACTCGTCGAGAATCTCGTCGTTGAGAAATGTTAAGGGAGTTTTCTTGGAAACATTTTTTCGTACCGATCACTGGCCTCCTACGAAACTGTTTGCAACGCGACTCGACCAAGGAACTGACCGTAATCTGAAGCTTTATATCTCGATGTTAATGGGTACCGTTTCTATGGCAGTTGTTCCGGATGACGAGCGCTCGTTAAACGAGACCCTGCCAGTCCCTCGGTTATAGGCGTAGCTCCTGCGCGAAACGACGTCTGACTTATAACGGAGTCGTACCACTTGGGCTTCCATTTCTCGGTCTCTGGAGGACCCCCGATGCAGGTTCCTCGCTCCTCCTCTCAGTGAGGCGAGTCGTCAAAGAACGTTTTGCCTTTCCGGTAGAAGGAAAACAGGGAGAGCCCGTCCAATGGGACCGAGGCGACTGGTTCACGACCAATCGTCGAGTTTCCAGCATTCGGATGTGACTGTGAACAGGTGTGGCGAAAGAGGACGCGAACGGAAGAGAGACAGGCTCGTTTCACTCGCGAATCGGGGGTGGACGGTACAGAGCGGATGAGC